TCTCATATAAGTATAAATATTTATTCTCGTATTGATTTTAATTTCATTTTAAGCCTTTATTTATGAGCGGAAGGCGGTTCGTCCAAGGTTTCTCTACCATTCCAATCCACTATGCTGCGAATCTAGTTAGCTTCTGAAATTTCGTCTTCTTTTATAACCCCCCCCCCCCCCAATCATTCAGTTGTATTTTTTTATTCACCAAGGATTTGTGAAAAACAAAATTATTTTGAATTAACTTTGAACATTATCGGTACTGCGGCTTGAAATTGAATTGAATTGGTTCGTTAATGCCTATTATTACTTTTTATCTCGAAGAATTTTTAAAACTTCCAAACTTCCAAATCAAAAAATATTGACAGTTAGTTCAATATAAGTAAATTTCTTTTGTGATAATTTTCACTGTGTATAGTATGAATTTCAATTTGTTTATATTTACTAATTATATTCATGGTCGGTAAATACACATTTGAATTATCCATTATTGTTAATTTCAAATTATTTTAATCTTTCCCCCACAAAAAATTTTGGTTCCTACGCCTCTGAATGAGGAATACATTTCTAACTGATACTATTTTCTCAAATATGGGGTGATTTTGCGCATGTTCATTTTGTTGTTCTTCTCTCTTCTTGTTGGTTCTTATTCTCAAATGTCTTTCTTTTATATGTACCTATGCAATATGGAGGAACAAATATGCCACAGTGAAATAATGGTGCAATGTGTGCAATAATATAGTACAATGTGCGCAATAGTGGTGCAATCCGTCCAATGGTTGTGCAATCTGTACAATATTAGGGCAATTTGTACTATATTATTGCAGTGTGTGCAATTTTGCACATGTGCGGTACCTCTGATATTGGAGTGATTACTTACCCCCTCGCTTCCAACCACCAAACTTTGATGGTTCCGCCCGAAAGATATGAAAATTCGTGTGTCGTGTTTTCAAGATCTCTCCTCTGAATTATTGCGTGTTTAGTTTTCGTTCTGGAAATTTTAATAGTAAATGTTTTAAGTGATATATCGAGACTATTGAACACCCTGCTTTCTTTGCAAAATTGCGATTTTACTTGTGCACTTTTTAACGGTAAATTTAAAATTGAAATTTAGGACTACCACTTTTTTAGTACCTACTTGCTTGGTTTTAAACTGAGGAGGAAGTTTTTGATATTTTGGGCATTTTGATAGGATTTTTTTTTAAACTCCAGTGAGTATTTTCAAATCTTTTCAGTGAATTCCTCCTCACTGTTAATAACTAAGATAGGTGATCACAGAAGTGGACAACATTCAAGAGAAGAGAAGAAAAAAATATTCTCTTGAAGGAAAAACAAGCTTTCTTAGGGGTTTAGAAATACTGTGATTTTCGTTTAACATAACGAACGGAAAACCCGGCTTAAATATTCTGCCCCTCCCCAGTATCTTCCAAAAATTATTTTGAAACATTTTACCGGTTAGACTTAGGATTCATAATTCATTATAGTGCAATTTCCCAGTTCCATTTATATTTTAATTACCAATGGCCAGTTGTTGCACAGTGCATTAGCGACCACTTTTCCCCGCTAAGAATTATTTTTCGCCTTCACAAAGCAAACTTGCATTCGTTTTCACGACGGTGTGTGTTAATTCAGGCGTCACTGACCATTAGAATAAAAAATTACCATATCCTGGCTCCTTTCAGTCAACTTTTTAACTCGCTTTTTAATCGATCCTACTATCAATCAATTAAAATCTCGTCACTTAAAAAATTTACTACACGAAATGTAAGCGCATAAAATGCTTCTATTTTAGACGAAATTTTGGACATACGTGCTTACATGTTTTCAGCTTCCTACAATTTAATAGGTAAAGTAATTGCGTTAATTGGAAATAAGATTATGTACCAACTTACGACAAATCAGTTTTGTTTGGTTGATTAGGTTTACGCTTATCTGTGCCAATTTGGTGTTAATAATATAAAAGTGCGATAATTGTAGGAGAATTGAAAAATTAAAACCGATGAATTGGTAATAATTAGATCTTTAGCAACAAAAAGTGTAATTAATTAACAATGAAAATGTAGGGAGTTGATTATATGAAATAGGTCATACCTACTGGCATTCAGATATCTGCTTATAATTACCAAAGGTTTCTTTGCCGAAAACAATTTCGCGCAATTAGCCACCTTAGTTATCTGTAGGAGAACTGTGATTGAGCGAAATGGGGTAGATGCATTGAAACCTATTAAAACTAATGAAAGTCATTTAAAACACAATGGAAGATAACGACGAGTACCGAAAAGAAAAACGAGTGTTTGTATTGTAACGTAGAAGCGAAATAGCTAGGGAAGTCAAGAAAACTTTTTTTTATTCCTCATTGTTTCCAAAAGATTAAATTTATTTTAAAGGAAGCGCCACTTTTCAGTCCATAAAAATACGGGATCATTTTAGATGCAAAATTTATTTTAATTTTATCTTTATTTATGATAAAGCATTATGGGGACGATAATTTTATATTGTGTTAGAGCTGTAGTCATGTTTAAAATAATATATTATGTTTAAGAAACTATTATAGTCATACCGTGCAAATTAGATGTAATAAATATAGCGATTAGAGATGTGTCCAGAATTTTTTATTACATATTTACATACGTTATCGCGTTTTCAAGATTTATTATACCAGAACTAGATGTACTTGGCATTCTGTTTATCGCAAAGCACCTAGTACCAATAATGGGAATGACAATCCGTTAAGTATCACGGCATACCTACTTCACTACAAACTTTTCTTTTTTTTTTAATTTATTAACCCATGAAACATACTTTTAAGTTTAGAGGAAGCAATATTATTTGTTTAAATGAATTTTTTTAATTTAATTGGGTTAATTGATATTTTCAACTTAAATATGAGGGTGGACTTTCATTTTTAAGAAATTTTCTCGACATTTTTCGCATTTCACCAGAAACTAAAGAAAAATATTTTTCGGATTCTTTTGTTACCAACTATACTTATAGGTAGTAAGTACATTTATGCTTATCCAAACAATAGTTTTAACCCAAAGTTTGACGTGTTTCAAAATGCTTGACGGAGGGGGTACTCACAAACGTCAAATCAATCGTCTGGACGAGACATATATATTGGTGAAGCCGAAGCGAATATCTTGAAATCGAAGTATCGGAAGAGAGTATTCATAAAGCGCAAATAGCACGCCTGGACACATCTACTGGTGATGGCAAAACTTTCGGTGCAAATATCGGCAAAACTGGGTGGAGGAGGAGACTCTCAAAGGGCGGAAAGATCGCCTAGACGAGACTAAATATCTGAATATCTAAAAAATGTCGGAGGAAGGTATCTACAAAGGGAAAATGCAATTTTTCGGAGAATTTCTCTACGGACTTGATTTTTCTTGCATTATGTAGCCCCCTTTCCATTAATCATCTACCAAGAATCGATAAATATGGCATGCAACTACCTTATAATCCAACCATTTACTAAGCTATTTTAGTTTGAAAACATGCGCTTTATCTGTACAAGCGTTGTGCCATTGAGTAATTAATCATTCAACGGTTGTGCGCAATTTATACTTGCTAAAGTTTGGTTTCGCTACTGTCCTGCTCGTTTTCATGTTACCCAGATACCAAATTTTGTTTAGATCGGAATATTTTGCCTCCCGATTGAGGTTTGGAATCTCTTCAGTAACAACATATCACCTACTATATGTGGCTAATTTTGTATTGCCTCAGTCTGAACGCATCCTAATACGTTTGAATTTGAGGTTTTCGCATGGCATCGTCTTCTATAGTAGCTAATGACAACATTCTGGTTCCAGCGAATTCATGCTTAAAATCCATTCCATTTCATTTGATTAAAAACTCCCCGGCCAACCTTTAAAACATTCCTATTATCTAAATAATTAGAAATGCAATGGCTGTTTTTCATACGTAGAGCAGCATCTTCTGCTGCATATCACAATATTCACAATCATAAGCGTGTTCAAGCTGTTCGTCAAGGTACGTAGGTACTTACTGTTTTCTAGACGAAATTGGTGAATAACTGAAGATTTTACTCTACCAATCAAATGAGAAAAAGACAAGTAGACTCCAAGATTAAATTCTCGCAACGAAGTTAGTGAATAAAGATTTTGGTTTTCTTGTAAAATGGTACCTCCTTCTATTCGGTTTCAGTGCTAAGATCTCGTCCCTCGCGCGGACGAACGGACCGACAAACAATAAGCTAATCAGAATGCCCTTGATCTCTAGAGAAATTCTTCGCAATATTTGCATTTTCCCTTTGGCGAGTACCCTCTCCGCCGTTCTCGAAATACTTGAATGTTTGACATCTCGTTTTGGCCCCGCATTTTCTCTTGACTTCCCTTTCTTTTCTAATGAATATTAAAATTTACCTTGCTCTAACATATTTTGGCGAGGAGTTGGTGACGATTTATTAAAGGAGATAAAAATTTCCTTCATTGCCTAAAAATTGCCCCCATTTCCCTTAATTTTCCCAACATTTCCTCTATTTCCCCAAAATGTCCTATTTCCCCAGAATTTCCATTTCCTACATATTTCCTCGAAATTTCCTATATGAGGGACAAGATTTTCCGTTACTTATTTTAGAGGACAAAGATTTCCCTGAATTAGCGCAAAACGGCGCAAAATGAGTAACGTTACATCCTTATAGAAACCTTTCATTTTCTTAAAATTTCTTCAGAATGCCCTCGGAATTTCCTCCCATTTCTCCAAAATGACCCCAAATTTTCTCTAAATTTCCTACATGAGAGACAATAATTTCTCTCGTATACATTTGCACCACTTTTCCAAGTGGATTGGAAACTGTATTTGTGATTTAGTGAAACTAATACGATTCAACAAGTATCTTTTTGAACACAATTCAACCTGCACATAAATTAAACACGGTGGACGATGGATATATATTTACAAAATGCTGTATGTGGCCAAAATGTCATTTTTTAATGAGTAGATAAACAAAACCCTGTTTTCAAAAACCAAAATAATCCTTTTTTTTTCAGAAGATTACGAAGTTGGAAAACGGAAGAAGACGAACAGACTACGAGCGTACTAAGAACACACGAACATACGAAACGACAATTCATTCTTTTTCGTTCGTTACGTTGTCATCGAGCGTGGCCAATGCGAAAGAATCGCGCGAAACTGAAATTGGACAGATCGATCGTAGAATTGGATCAAGTATAGGGCCGAAGTTGTCATAATTGGCGTAGAAATTGCCCCCTCGCTCTGCCCAATGGGGGGCGAAACCTCCCCGGAGCAGCAGTACTCGCTGCGATGGAATGACTTCCATTCCTCGATTCTGTCTTCCTTTCGACATCTTCGGGACGAGGAAGATTTTGTGGACGTTACCCTGGCATGCGATGGATGTTCATTTACCGCCCATAAAGTCGTTTTGTCGGCGTGTAGTCCGTATTTTAGAAGACTCCTCAAAGCGAATCCTTGCCAACACCCCATAGTTATACTTAGAGATGTCCAACAGAAAGATATGGAAAGTTTATTAAGGTAAGATTTTCCTGACTAATGCCGTGAATCACGATCTTTTAAAAATAAACTCGCTAAACGCCTTTTTGCTTTGGCATTTTACAATGTAATTGTAGGCAGAACAGCGATCGCTATAAGCGCTAATGATCTAATTTTGTTGAAATGAAATTAGTACGCAATTTTAAACATTAAGACAGGTGTCACATTAATAACAGAAAGCAGCTTGTTTACCTCGATTAAGCCCGATAAAAAATGAGTAAAATACAGCTGCCATTTTTCTAAAATTGTTCATTATTCAAAAAGGATGTTTTTTTTATAGGTTTATGTATAATGGCGAAGTGCATATAGGTCAAGAACAATTAACAGATTTTTTAAAGACTGCTCAAATGTTACAAGTTCGGGGGTTGGCGGATGTCCCCGCAGGATCCGCCGGACAGAGGCTTACGGCAACCGATGAAAAGATCTCACCGGTAAGTGAATTTCAATTATTTTATTCGAGCTCACTATAAAATAATCGATTGACACAGAATCGCGCATATTTTCGCGAAGATTTGGACCATTTTCAACTATTTTCCATAAAAATACGTTCGTGTCGTAACTATCACTTAAGCCATAGGACATTTAACTTTACGACGGTGATCTGAAACTTTTTCATGGCAATTCCATACTTCTTTGATTCAAATCCTATACTTTTGCTTAATCACAAATTGCGTTAAATCGCCGTAATGATCATTACACAATGGATTTTTTAATTACTTTTTAATACGACTACAATCTCATGCACAAATCACAATTACACAAAATGCAATAAAACTCATATTAGGTAACTTAAATTTAGAAAAATCATTCATTAGTATTTAGTTATTCTCATATTGATGATTCAAGATTTAATTATAAATGCGTAATTTAAAAGTAATTAAAGAAATCTTTCCACTTTGTCAAAAATATTAGATTTGTATCTACCAGGTATACAAGATTCTAGAATGTTTAAGATGCAATTTATGATAAACTTAACTGTTGTTGTACCCGGATATCTAAACCAAATTGTAGGTAGGTGCTCGTACTCATAAAATGTAACCAGTTCACATTTACATTTAATTTGTCTATTTAACAACAATGTTGTTTCTTAATGCGATCCGTCGAGGATAAAGTGAAACATATCATTTTAACAAAAATAAGATGCGTTTGTTTACGAATAGAATACAGCATACCATTTATTACAATTGCGATTTTCATTGTAAGGTCGATTGCATTCATTACCTTTTGATCGCGACTTGAACTCTATGCTATTGTGAATAATAATTTGTTTTAGAAAATATTTTTGGAAAGCTTCATTTCCTTGCTCTTTTGTATAAAATGATCGTACGAATCGTAAATAAAAATTTTACTTTCTGTCTGCATAATGGGGGGATATTCCAAATATATTGTATTTTTTATAGAACCACAAAGTACTTTAGAGGTCATTTGAATTTATATTTACGTCCTTTGTTGTAATCAGGCCGTCGCTAGCGTCTGTTTTCCCTAATAATATTATATCTGTAGTAACTGTTTGTAAATAGTTTCGGAGGCCCCTTAAGAAGTTCCAAATTTGTTGTATAGTGCTCACAAAATCAGTTTTGAAAAAAACGGCGATCTTTTACAGGAAAAGCATACTAAATAAGTCGCTATTTTCACTACAAAAATAAGGTTTGCGGTGGAATGTAATTTCACAAATTAAATCGGAAAAGTACATTTTATTGATGTGGAAAATATGCGTATGGTTCTTAAAATGGCCCTTGATTAATAAATCGAAATACTTCTCTGTATTTCTGTTTGGAAATATATGGTACTCTGTATACGAGCAGATGTCCCGTCTTCAAGGCAGTGCTAGTAGAACCATTTCCAAGTCATCGTCTTCTTTTTCTTCTAATAATGCGCAAAAGGAACCAGTGGCTATGCCGCCGTCAACGTCGTTGCCATGTCCATTAACCTAGCAGAGAAAGGTCAGCAGAACACAATCAAACATATTGCATAATTAGGTGCTAATTAAGTGCCCTATTCCCGAATTGAATGCTCCTTTTTTTAAATTATGAACCTGGCAGACATGTAATAATTAAAAAACAAGTTGTAAATCAGCATATGCATGATTAAAGCGCACAAGTAATCTAACTCAAAATAGACTAGTGCCTGCACATCTACACTATAGCAGAAAGCTTTTAATGAAAATTTGAATTCTCTAGCTATTGTAGTTGTGGAGATCTCACGTGGACAGCCGGCCTGCCAGCCATAACGAATATAATAGCGTATTTTTTTCAAAAATGCGCTAAAAAAGGAGCATTTAATTCGGGGATAGGGCACTTAATTAGCACCTAATTATAGTCAGTTCACTTTTCATTTTCTTGGTTTTTTGAGGTAGTGTTTTGCTGAGTTCATATGAAACTGTCAAAACATATAATTTTTTAAAAAAAGGAGCATTTAATTCGGGAATACGGCACATAACTAGCACCTAAGTATGCAATATGTTTGATTGTGTTCTGCTGACCTTGCTCTGCTAGATTCATGGACATGTCGTTGTCGGCTACCGGCCACTAAAAAACGCCAAGACCGCACCGTACCTTTAGGTACCTACCACAGCAGAAAGTTGCGGAAGCGTGGAAGGGTTCCATCTTTTTTATTTGTTTTTGTGTCTTGATTTTCGACTTCTATCTCCTAATTACGCCATATATCTCGTAATTTCGACTTCTATCTGATAATTTGGACTTATATCTGGTAATTGCGACTTATATGTGGTAATTGTAACTTATATAGGTAGTATAAATTGCCTCGACGGTGCATGTTCAGTATACAAACACGCCCGCACACACCTTTGTATGGTGAAGACATCAAGAGCTCTAGAGAAATGTCGAAAATGAATTCGGAAGAAAGGGTAAGTAGGAAATTCCGATTACAGTATAAGATACCTTAGGGGAATTACGAGACATAAGTCGATTTTACAAGATAACAGTCAAAATTACGAGATATATGTCGAAATTACGAGATAGAAGTCGAAATTACGACAAGTAAGTCGGAAATCATGAAATAAAAAAAATAAAAAAGAGGTGGCCCTTCTATGCTTCCGTGGAAAGTAAATTTTTCTGTAGTTCATCTTAAGAGAGAGGAATAAAGTGCGTACTTTCAAACCACGGAAGTGCCTTTTAGTGAAATAATATAAAAGCTTAAATAGCGCAAATCATACTCTTTGTTGCCTGGAAATCTCATAATGTCGACCTGATGCATAGTGATACGAGGCGAGGCGAGATTTTCCTGCACCGGTCTCATCTCGACAGGTCTCGAACAGAGACGATCTCGTTTCGCCTCAAAAGTCACCCCTATTTTCGAGTTGACGATGCACATCACAAAAGTTTCTGTATAAATAAACGTATAAACAAATATGGAAAACGAGCTCCTGAATATGGCTTGGCATTGCGTACTGTATGGCTAAATGTAATTTTGAATTTCATGCTATTCGGTTCATAAGTAACGGAGATATCAAAGGTGCCTTCCATATTTTTACTACCCGCACAACGTATTACATTGGGGTAAAAAATGCCCTCCCCCCCCATTTTTTTTACGGAAATATACGTTTTGAAGCACCCGGAATTAAACAAAATCTTGATGATGTCGATCGGTCTGTCGGTCGACCTGTCTGCCTGTACTCTCATTTCCGGCAAAACTGCCGAACCGAATGGAACCAAATTTTGTTTAGACATAAAAGGAAGAGCTGAAAAGCTTTTGAGCCGAATCGCGCATGTGTAAGTGTGCACTCTCTCATTTTCGCCTAAGCGGCTGAACCGATTGGAACCACCTTTGGGACACATATTCTTAGACGCTAGGAGCTCGTTAATAAATATGCGCTTTGACATTCTCCACTCAACGCTTCTAAACAATTTTTTATCTGGGTTCTAAAAGTTGCTTCCCTACTTTCAAATGTGAAATAAAGTGTTAACGGTACTACTTCAAATTTTTCCATTCTATAGTCAGTTCACAAATCAAATTTTAACAACACATTTCCTAAAAATCGACATGTGAAATTCCTATTTAGACGGAAAACTAGACTTCAATGACCTTCACAGAACTTCATCAAATGTGCGCAATTTAGAATTTTCAAAAATGGTCATAATCTTTTAAATATTCATTTTAAGTAGGTAAAATATCATTATACATATTTGCATCGCTTCTGTAGAATTAAAACTGACTTGCCCCAAATTTCCGACTTCTTTAGAGCTCTATGAAAGAAACTGAAACATACATTAACGTGGACATAGATTGAAGTAGTAGTACTCTAATGTCCCACAAGACACGTTAATACAATTTTTAAATCAATTCAAACATTAATTTTACGTAGATATGAGCTCGAAGAGAGAGATAGGTAGGAAGTTGCCACAAAATGGCGGCAGGATGTCATGACGTCACATCTGGTGTTCAACAACAGCAGGTCACAGAGATAGGGAGGAATTTTCCTTCTTACATATTCTTTTAAAATTGTACTCGATTAAATCCAAACCCGGCTGATGACGGTAATGGTACTGAAAGTAATGAAGTACTCGATTAAATCCAAACCCGGCTGATGACGGTAATGGGAATAGAAAATTTATTACGTTTCACAACTTGGAGCGAAATAAAATGACAACAATGACAGAATGAAGTTTCTTGGCGCTTGAGCTACTGAATACAAAAATAAACTAAATATTTGTATGCCTTTATTTAATATTTTGAAACCGGTAGAAGTAGGAGGCCTCGGGCGTACGGACGAACGAACAGAGAAAGTGGCTGCGATGGCATATAAAAATTTGTATTATAAAGTTATTATTATTATAAATGTCTACAAACATCTAGTGCGAATGCAAAAAATCCTTAATCATTTTCTTAATTTGGGGTTCCATTAAAAACCCTATACAATTTAGGGCAATCAGGAAGTAAAACAGTGCTGCTAAAACAGTATTTGAATATAAAAAAATATTAGCTCTCTTCGAGAGAGGTAAAATTTCGGCATAGGTAGATAATATTTCCCTCTGGGATACAAACAGCACTTTTTTATTTTTTAGTGGTCTCACCTGTAATACGCACTATTACAACCGTATGACGCAATATACTATTTTCAAGATCCGTCCAATAATGTGTTTGATAAATGGGGTGTTGCCGTTTTAATTGTATAAATAGGTACATATTTGTTTCAATACAACTTTTGAACAGGAAATTAATAATTACGGGGACGTAATACGTGTTTATCAATAAATTATTTCCAACTGATACCTCCTTGCATCTGGTGTAGGCCACAACAATGTTTAAAAGAGAAATTGGTATTGGAAACACATAATGGGTTATTCGCTGGAAGCAAATCCCCTACCCCACTATAAATTAAAATTTGAGATCAGTGGAAATGAGCAAATCGTTGCACTGGAGATGAGTTACAGGCTTTCACTGTAAGACTTAAGATTTTTTCCCACTTTCCATGATGTAGGTACGATCTTCACTCATTAAAAAAGCAAGATACAGGGAATGAATAACAACATTATAATAAATATATGGAGATGTAATTACAATTCTTTTATAAAATAGATTGGATCCCAAAGTGTCTGCACTAGCCAATTATAACCGGAAGTGCTATTTTGTATGTATAGGCAATGCGATTTGTTATATCTTTACGTACAGTAAAGAACCATTGAACAATAAATCTAGGAAGCTCCAGTAAAGTAGAAGTCTGCACCCTTTTAGTGACGGTTCAGTAAATCAAAAGGACTTGTATTTGATAAATTACAATTTTGACATTCAGGTATCAAGGAGTTATTGCGTGTCATGCAAGTAGAATAAAAATGGGGGGAATTGCCACTCCCAGTAGCCAATTATTGTTTAGGGGCGATAAAGGTCAATCGATTAACTCTACGAGTGTGTGTTGACTGACGGTGGAAAATCAAAGTCTCTTGAATGTACTTATTTTACAGAATTCCTCATCATTGCCATGGGCAGCGGATCAGGCGGATACTATTAGAGACGGCGGTTTCTCGCCGCCCCCCGCGAAAAGATCCAGAAGTTCGGAACACATTAGAGGGTCTTATACGCCGGATAGGGGTAGAAGTCCCTTGAGGGGTAACGGTGATATGAGGGAATCGTTATTAGGACAGGCTTTAGAAGGTGGACCGACATTACATACGAGTACTAACGTAAGATGATGCGCTCGTTATTGTTTTGCAGGAATAATGCTTGCTGGTTTTAGAAAGGACAATCAGATTCATCACTTCAAGCGCAATCGACAGGTGAAGATAGTAATAGTAGTGATACAGCGCCAAGTGATCACGGTGACCCCGTAACTCCTAAGACTGAACCCTCTGATTACCCAATGTTAGACGATCAACACCCCTTTAACACCAACGGCGGACTTTTAGATCAACCGAGAACACCAACTTTTCCTGGAGCCTTACTCGGATTACAAGGTATATATATTTTGATTACGTCAATAAATTACTATTGATTTCATCTAGTGGTAGCGCACTGGTTGTAAAAGATTTTAGGAGTCATAAAATAACTTTCTAGTTGCTTTGATTATGGGCCATAATTTTCATTACTTTTATGCTTTTTCCAGGACTTCAAGGATTAATGCCGGGACCTTCCGGAATGCACAATAGTTCCGCGGATAATTTCGGTAAGTTCCTTTTATGACCTTTTCGAAAGCAACATTAATTTGGAACGAATTTATGTTCGTTCCAAGTTGATTAATTTTAATATTAGCCATATAAAACTCGAAAATTACTTGCTCATCGCCCAAAAGTTCTGTATTCAAAATTAAATCTGCGAAAATTAGGCGACACTTATTTATGAAAAGCGTCGGAAGAGGCGCCGTCGCATAATCTCATTGACTGCTCCAGCAATTTTGTTTTATCTTCAACAGTCGGAAGTATGATGGAAATGTGTAGAAGTTGCGTTCTTCTATTGCACTTGTTTCAAGATTGTACTGTGGATAATTGGAACGGTCGATTGTATCTGGAATCTTGATATGAATGGTATAACCTTTCCGTGTCAAACGTAAAAATAAATTAGAAAGTTCGCTTTACATATCCACTTATGAAAATTACTTGGTAGAGTTCTGTTATTAACATAAAGGTCAAAATTCGGGCTAACGTGGCGCAAACGATATTAACGAGCTTTGCAATTGATCGAAGGGGGAAAAGGAGGAACAGTCAAACATCGAGATTGCTCTCGATGTCCTCATCCCTAAACTTCCCGGCATAGGTCTATTGATTTATACCGCGCACCCGTGTCTCTTGTCCGAATAGCCGGATGGACGCTGAGGTGGTACACTCCAAACACGTAGGGTTTGCAAGGATGCGCACACCCTAGTAGATAATGGATTTGAGAAGGGTTCTGCGGTACGTTAATCTTGCGTATGTACGCCCTATAGACCTTCATCTACTTATTTTAGGATATAGTTCGTGTCCACGAATAGCTATGGAGATTCTCGGAGAATTCGATGAGTTTAATACTGCGTAATTGCAATTGGGGAAGTATTGATTCCCAGTGGATAGCAGAAGTCCCTTTAAAATAAGACGTTTTCTTTATCTGAATGTACTTGTTCGGTACGAAGGCGGAAGAAAGGGCAGCAAGTGGGATGGGAAATAAGAAGTAAAAAGGAACAGCTTTGTGCTGTAGGCGCATTATTTTCAGCCGTATCGGTCCGTAATACACCACTGCTATCGACTGTTCGTGTTTGGACACCATTACCAGCATTTATTACTTTGTCTGATAACGTACCCGTTTGTCAGGATATTTTCAGAAAATTACGAAGGAGACTTTTGTATTGGATCATTACTCGTTCGTCTTTATTATACCTGCACTACCCAAAGACCTAATTTATGTAGACCAGGACGGAGACTCAAAATGCGAAATGGGGAAGCAAAAGATTGCGTGATATCAAGTTTCGTTTTCACTATTGAAAATATTCAAAAATTTATTAGTTTTAAAGCTCTCATAAGTACGCACGAAATCTTTTTATTATCATTTAAGTTATTATAAACTCTAATACAACTTTCGACATGCAATTTTACATTGTATGACTCCAGTTTAAAAATAATTATTTTAATAACTTCAATTCGAGTCAATTGCTTCAACAATTATTTTAATGATCGTAAATTAAGCGTGTACGTTGTGTAAATAATCGTAACTGGATCCGAAGTAATATTTTCGGAGACATACCGTTCATTAACTCATCCAGATTATTGTCAAAAAGGTACACGATGCTGAAATCACGCATACAAAGAAAGGACCCACTTGTCCAAAACGCGGAAAATCTTACAGCACATTGAGCAACCTCAAACAACATTTCGCCGATGTATATTAGAAAAGCACTCATTTTTATATGCTCATATGGCTTGGGATACTTCAAAAACGAGCTCTGTAATCGGATAATCACTTTATTTATCTCAGATAGGTACACAGTGTGCAAGGAAGACCCTTTGTAAACATCAAAGACAGGGAATATGAGTATGAAAAGTTCAATTAGCATATACCTCGTTTGAAACCAAAAAAGAAGTCGATTGTTCGAGCTTTACGATCGAACACACGCAGATAAATTGAACTGAGAACTCTTTATGATGTTGAATTACCTAAATGTAATGCCGCCTCTGTTACAGGGGCGGCTTACCATCCGACGGGTGGACCACATACGCATCTTTGGCAGGATGGACCTACATGCGACTATTGCGGAAAAATATATTCGACACCCGGTAACTTAAAGCAACACATAATAAACGTTCACGTAGAGACTTCAAGAGAATTTTGGATCAGTTGCGATTTATGCGGAAAGCAATGCAAGACGAAACATTATTTAATTAACCATCAGTTGCACGCGCACGGAGTGCGCCAACGGCAACAAAACGGATACGTTTGGGGGATTTAAATTAGGTTTACTTTAAACTTGGTTTAGCTAAGGTAAATTCATAGATTAGCCAATTATTCTCGCTACCCTAATATGACACTATCGCAATAGTATTCCTAGCTCTCTTGTTTTCACCCCTAAATGTAATACTATTGCCTTAGAGATCTTAAATTGTTTCGATTATGTTTAAATTATGTAAATAAGGAGGCTAAAACAAGTAAAGTGCAGCAAGATTTGGCATTACAGATGCCAACACCGGAGGTGGAAACGGATCGCCCTCCAATCAGCAGATGGCGCTAGCTGCAAGAAAGGTGAAATACGAATGTCCTCTATGCGATCGAATTTTGGAATCTATCAACGTCACACGAGCTCATATCGACGAACATTACCCTAGAGATAGCCCTTTCTGTCCAGTAAGCGAATGTGGAAAACGATTTTCGCACCCGAACTCCGTAAGAAACCATATGAGAGCAAAGCATTCACAGCAGTGGGAAATTATGAAACAGATGAAGTGGAGCGTCTAAATTATACACTGTAAATGAGAGTGAATTAAGAGAGGTCAATTTTGTGGACTGAAAAGTGAGAGAAATAAACCAAAGATTAACGGTTGTTTCATGTGATATGATTGAATTCCTTAAAAACTATTCAGTAGACTTTTCTCAGTGCCCTTGTGGTACCTTCCTATAAGCGTATTTAATTATGCTGCTATTGAATATTTTGTAAAACGGAAAACTATTATCCTGTAATTCTATGTATTTTTATATATTGCATTACATTGGGCGTATAACAGAGTGTGACTTTTTAGCTATTCCTTTTGAAACATTTGTCTCATAATTTACCTGCTGAACACAGCTCCAATTTTCTCATAATTCAGGTAACCGCTCATTACTCTACTCTAATACATATGTTGGTGCAGGTGCTAATTAAAAACGTGTCACTGGAAATTCCAAATTAAATGAGAGTTTAAAATCTTCTGTTCAAATATTTACTTAACGAATTAATGAAATTTAAACTGTTTATTAAATAACAAGGACGCTCTTTTAATTAAAACTTATATTTTAACAACTTTTAGTACCTACACCAATAAACAAATTATAAAAGACATTTAAAGCAAATTGAAGGTTACATGTAAATGCTAATTTTATGCGAGTAATACAATTAAATCAATAGTTGGAAATGTCACGTTTAATTTCTGAGTTATCTGTTATACGCAGTACCTATAGATTTATATAGTGTAGATAATTGTAAGTATTAAGAAAATGGAGCGAATACGGAAGCGCGGAAGGGCTACAGAGAGTTTTTCCTGTTTGAACTCAGTATTGACTTTTAAGTTGTATCGGGCTTTTAATAAATTATTTTCGATGAGGTGTAACCTAAGTGCTTAGTGGAACGAATTTGATAGAATAGCAACGATAATAAACAATTCTGTTGTTACCCCCAAACATTTGGAAATCTCACAGTGCAGTCCACTGTTCTTTCATTCCTCATAGCCGTTCAGCTACCTGTGGGGTGATCCTTTAATTTTTTAAATAGGAAAAGCCATGTACGTAGATTCCTATCAGATGAATAAATAAGAAAGGAAAGTGCCACAAGAACAAGGTCGTTTATCAAGTAGGCAACTTATTTCGGACCGTCTATATAGTAAATTTTTGGGCCTTGGTGAGCTTGAAGAACAACCGTGCGCTGACGCTGAGTTTCCACCACCACCACCATCGTATTGTACATGCAAATTTAGTCATCAGGTCAATGTCCCTTTCGCCTGTTGTTGTTTCTTGGGAAACGTTCATATGTTCTTCATCCCAAATTTATTGACCCACTTATTTGATAAACTCGCAAGTACTTAAATCGAATAATGCATCGCTCCAAATGCCAAAGAACTACTCATATTCATCTACCCTTGTCTTCCACTGTGCGTGTCTTTAAACTGCTCTTTTCCTTTTGAAAATGTCTTGAACCACCACAAACGCTGCAAAAATATCACTTTGGCTTCGTTTTGCAGCACGATGTCGATTGTTACTGTTCAATAATAAGTTATCTGGTAGATTTACCTGAAACCTGTTATTTTGGATATCCACCATATTATCATTGATTATACGGGGTGTCGGACATATTTTCCAAACTAAAGAAGATATTGAAAATCGCACAAAACCGTTTCGGGGGTAGCGAGGGGGAATCAGAATGACGTTATGAGTGACAAATATATAAATCCCTCAATGTCAACATTTAGTTTTTTTTGTTAATTATTAAATTTTTGTTAAATTGTCATAATTAATATTGACTTTTATTGGTACCACTGGAAAGCATTTTTCAGTAGCTTTTCAACGATGTGTCACAAGTATGGTGTCGCCATTTAGGATTTTTGAAGAGAGAGAGGCTGGGGGGTTAAGGGGGGTGGGTCGTTGTCACTCATAACGTCATTCGAGTTCCCCCTTGATACCCCCGAAACGGTTTTGCGCGATTTTCATTATCTTCTTTAGTTTGGAAAATATGGCCAACTGCAAGTTTTAAAATTGACTCCCTGTATATTATACTACCTGTATGTTGTATCAATGCTATTATATTTAATGAAGAAAGCATTTGATGAAAAAGTCAAACTACCTCTACTTTCTGCATGTCTTTTTGCGCCTGCTAAGGATTTTTAGAGCCAATTTTGGGCAAATATTTCTCACCTATTTATTACCCAAAATCTGATCACCAAGGATGTAAGTTGAATCAAACTCACAAGAGATTTACAAGGGTTTTTAAGATCTCTTCCCTCTAAAAATCTGAAACTACAATCGAAAACCCCGCTGCGATGAAGCTTTGCCGTTTTTTTTCCAACTTTTGAATTGAGCTAACAGCCTTATGGTATAGCCCTATGGCTAATACCTATGGTATTAATATGGTAAGCAATTGCCTACTGAAATTACCACTGTATTCCACTGACTATTACCTTTGATTGTACCATATTTTTAAAAAAAAACGCCCATTTTTTATTTTCCATGTATCGATGTAAACCATTTCATGATGTGGCATTGAGTTTGCAGATCGCATTCAAACATCCAAGTCACGACATGATTTCATTCTCTTAAGAGCAAAGTCCGTTTGAGGAACGAGACAAGAAAGTCATACAAAGCTCGTTGATATCTGGTGTAGGCGTGTAGGGCTCCCATTAGTTTTCCAAACTGCGACCGAATGATGTGCAAATTTGAGTAAAATCTTTATCTATTCACCGACTTAGTTGGGAAAACAGCAAAACGCATTGCCATGCAAAGTAACTGAATATAAGTGATTTACTCAAGATAATCTATGCACCATTTGGGGTCAAATTTGGGCAGTTGGGGGAAATGATTTCGCTCTAATATAAAACGAATCAGACTTAAGCTCTTTAATAAATATAATTTAATAAAGTATTTCATAAGTCAAGTTATGTTGTTGCGCCGTTTTGAGCCATTTAGTAAGACATTTTTTACTCCTATTGTAGCCCTAAAGCATCAGTCTTAGCGAATTGGTTTAGTTTTGGCAAGTGTAGTCAATTTTTCGCAGCAGGATTCAAATTTTGTACTCTATCAATGTTTAATTGAAGATCAAGACCGGAAATTATTTCATAAATTTTTTACATCGGGATTATTGGCAAATGGTGAGCTAATTGGGATGAAATTTTACGCCTCTACCAATTAAAATACAAACAGTCACACAAATCCGGTTAAGTGAATAGCTTTTTAATGTCGCCGATATTAAGAAATTGTAGTTGTACCCACGTGTAAGCGGGAGAACAGTGAGGGCCAAATGAACTCATATTTTCGGAAACACTGGACCTCCTTTTGCAATTGTAGTAGATAACTCTAGTATTCCAAAATGAATCAAAAACACCAGAAACCACAACAAAACTTTAGTAGACCGTCTAGTTGTTTGCTGATGATGACATCTTTGTTGCCGGAACGGTTTATTGGGATTTCTTGGGATTGGGATTGCTTTGCTTTAGTTTTTTTTTTGTTCATATTCTTGTTCAACAAACCTGGGTTGACTAAGACTTGTTCCTTTCAAACAAACTCACATCTGTTCCTGTTGTGGTTTCAGCTCCAGATTAAGCAAACTTGATTCTGTTTATACATGTCCTGGGACAGACATAGAAATTCATAGCTTCTAAATCGAATTGCGGTATTGTATGAGTTACAATGTAGTCGATACGAGGTTCCTACGAAAAGTTTAATCTGTGAGCTTTCCGCGCTTTTCGTTCGTGCTACCAGCGCTGATTTATATTTTTAATTTGAGGAAAGTGTAGTTTGTGCACAAGAAGTCAGTATTAAAGATAAATTTTTAATGAGATCTTTTATTTTTCGCGCAGTAATACGCGAAAGGTTCGTGCGAATTGTTTTTAAGAAGGGATTGTTAAATTGCAGTATCGAGGCGATCGTTGGACATGATGAGAGTGCGAGCGACAGATCCCCGTCCTTGTCCAAAGTGTGGTAAAATCTACAGGTCGGCGCATACGTTACGAACGCATTTAGAGGATAAGCATACGATTTGTCCCGGTTATCGGTGTGTCTTATGTGGAACGGTGGCCAAGTCACGAAACTCCCTCCACTCGCACATGTCAAGGCAGCATCGAGGGATAAGCACTAAAGATTTACCCGTATTGCCCATGCCCGCGCCTTTCGATCCAGACTTAGCTAGCAGGTATGTCAAGTTAACGCTAACCAAAGAGCAATTAAGCGAAAGATTAATAACGCCTTGTTTCTTTAAAGGTTACTAGCGAAAGCTGGCGTTAAAGTAAGTCCGGCGGAACTCCGAGCGAGGGCGTCCCCCACCGGTCCAAGGAGGTCAGATATGAAACTGGACGCTAAGAGTGTCTATTCCGGCGCGCCTTCGGAAGCGGGTAGCTCAGTCTGTGGTGATAACGATCCCGAAGATTTGACGATTTCGCATCATCGGTCGTACTCGGGGTTGGATTTAGCGATGTCGCCTCCTTTAAATCACAACCCCGCGAATTTAAAAATTACTAAGTTAGGTTCTTCCGGGCAAGCGGTTGCTGCGAAAAGTATAGATTCGATAGCACACAATTTGTCCAAGGAACCGTACCCTGCACCTTTAGCGCCTCCGGTTGTACCGGGAAATACGACGGGATCCGCAATTTTAGATACGTACTTACAGTTTATTACAGAAAATAGTTTAGGAATGGGTATGATGTCCGAGCAAGCCGCTGCCGCGGTTCACGCAGCGAAAATGGCTCAATTAAACGCTATGGGTTTAGACAAGGCATCCCAGCAGCATTTCTTAGAAAAAATGCAGCAACAAATGGGCGTTGCAAACGACTTAATGATGAAAAGGTCTGACGAAATACGTAGAAACGATGACGACATATTAAACAATGAACACGACATTGATAAAGATAAAGACGATGGGGGATCTTCTGGCGGCGAAGAAGATGAGTATAGCGAAGACGATGTAGAACCGGAAAGTGTTAAAGCGGGTGATTAATGTACAGATTGAAAGACATTATAAGTAAGTCAGTTCAAAGATATTCCAGCTGCCGCAATTCTTGCCGTTATAAACTTAATATACTAATTTTATTCCATCCATCTACCTCAATATTGCCACACAAAATTTTACCACAAGTTCTATCCTTGGAAAGCATTTAAATTCCATCCGTCTACCTCAAATACTCAGAAATAGAAATACTCGTAAGATAACAGGATAATAAGGGTTCTCGTGTGTATACGGTAATTTAAGATAGATTAAAATTTTTATTGGACTACGTTGCAGTTACAAATTGACTTTAAAAATTGATGTTAAAATAAGATGTGTAGATTTGTACATTAGTACAATGTTTAGAAATGTCTATAAATCGTGCCAGATTGAATGTTGATTAGTATATATGTACCAGTGATTTATACATAGTGGTTCCTGCAATCTACATCACAGTTTTCTTTATAATTTCAGTACGCGAATATATTTAATAATTGCATCAGGAAGTACACCTCAAGGGAATTTTATAATAGGTCAAGGGTTTCGTTTAAATTGTTAAATATATTTATCATATTATCGCAGTATACAGTCAACCTAATCAGGTTAAATGGTACAAAAGGCTTTTGCCGTAATACTATTTTTGTATGAAATCTAGATTATTATGATCTTATATAATCACTAAAATTTGCAATATTGGTTCATTCGTAGACTCATTAAATGATGATGTTTTAGTCTTGTGATATAAATTAGTACTGAACACCAACAAGTAATATTTTTTTAACTTGATAACAGTTTGCGCGTGTCAGCGCGTTTAATAAGCAACCGTTTACATCATAGAATGGGTCTAAACTATTCAAGTTAAGTATATGCTTCCATACAATAAATGCTTCCCGATATAAGCAATCTTCGTAATCTCAGGTAGATCTCTCAAAATTGCAGTACAAATTTCAGGATAATTACTGCTGAATGACAATTTTATAATTAATAATCACTCATACTCGCATCCGTGATAATAAGTCAGGTAAATATTAACTAATTCAGGTATCATAAATCAGGTAGATAAGACAGTTTTTATAAATAATTTATCAGTCACTAGTTTTATTACTTCAGTTTTAATATTATAATAACTACACTTCCAACGTTCTCTTCCTAGGCTTACGTTGTTCCAAAATTTGCCTCATGACAAACTGATAATAAATGAAACAATCCTATATGTATACGTGAGGCAAAGTGTCAATCAACACACGTACGTCAGTAGCTCTTCCATTTATTTGTATTAAAATCGTTGCAAAAATCCGTTTCGTATACCCTTTACGTTCAAAAATACCGTTTTGTTAATTGGGCTTACGCTAAAATGCTACAAGTAGTTGTAAAAAGCAGAATGCAAGCTGTCTGTAGTTAGCTGTACTCAAAAAAATAATGGTAATTGTTAAATGTTGACTAGCAAGTTGTAATCGCTTACGTTTTAGTCAAGATTAGAGGTAACATAAAAAAACGTAGCGATAGAACTCGAAAAAGGTCATTGTTAATTATTGCGTAAGTTAGTATAACTAGATTGTTAATGCACACTGAAAGCGCAACATGAATGTATACCGTTTCTAAATTACAAATTTATAACTGGTAATGTTCTTGATAAATTTTCACAATTTTCCCAAACCCCCCACCGTGTAATCGGGGGCAATTTCTAAATTTCTTCACTTTATTCCACTTTAAAGCCTACAAAAACCAGTGATTATACGATTGCTTTAGTACTGTCATGGAGGAAATGACTCAAGAACATTATACATCCATTTTTTATAAAATAAGATTTAATGATAAAAATTAAAATATTATATTTTTTCACAAATCTTGTGTGTTATTTATTTGTAGTTTTTTACAAACAGAAGTCCTCAATGTTATGCATTATTGGCCCTTATTACTCTACCCTCTCTTTTACCCTAGGCAACAAGAATTGTTTAAGCTGTAAGTTATGTTATTATTCTGTTAGGTGAATAGTTATAGATAATGTTACTTATGCATCGGTACTGCAGTCCATATAATTTCAAGGCTGTTATTTATTTCAGTGTTTACATCTATGTTAATATATGTTTATTTGTGTAAGATTGCAGTGTCATTTTTTAAAAGTTATGTAGTTTTTAGATTTAAGTACTGTTGTGATTTCCCAATAATACATTTCCGGTTAAACTACCTCATTTTTCTGAAATTCAGTTTTCAACTTTTGTGTGTATTTTTTATTATATATGTATAACAAGAACCGATCTCCAATGTGACAGTAATACCGGTAGAATTTTGTACTTAAGATATGAGAAGTATATTTTATATATTTTATTTAGTTAATGATGTACAGTTGTTTTTGTTTTTTGTAAGTTAATTCAAATCGATATGTATTTGTAAAAACCCTTAGGGGACTATGGCGAGCTTATCTATATGTGCAGTGCCATATGTAAAAACAAAAACATTTTGCAAAGTTTAACGAATTAAAAGTTGTAAAATGTTTTTTCATTTTATATAGGACTCTACAGCAATCGCATTAGTAAATGCAAATAACAGGAGTAATGGTTCCTATATATTATACGGTTCCTCAACAATAATCTTCTTTTTCTCGAATTGACTCTCGGGTATAATTGTACTTAATTAGACTACTAAATTGCATCCGTTCCCAACTATTTTAAGTTACTTACTTACATTTCTATTGTTGAGGGACTGGGTGCCTTCTGTAATAAGTATAACAGCCTAGTCGCTGGTATTTCACCCAGTGGCACAAAGCTGAAGCAGAGTTCCTAACCTGACTCCCTTTACGAGAGGTAATACATTTAAACAAATAACTCGTAACTTTTATATAGCGTAGTGAACCGTTGACACCGATAAAATATAGTTTTGCTAAAGGGCAGATTCGTATACACTTTATATTATATGAAATAGATGTATGTGTAAGATATAACTGATAGGTATACATAAAATATTTGTTTTCAATTAATATTAACGTTTTGCACTGCATTTCGTTTTAAAAATGTACTTAAAAATCAAAACCATGTTTGCGTTTTAATCGTTAAACTATGTACTTTTATTTTCTATTTAAAATGTTCCTGATGATATATAAGTTAGACATATGTTAAGTTGAAATTGTCGTTGTTTAGTTAGCGGTAGGTGCAATAAGAGAGCAACATGACAAGTAAGGATATAAAATAAATAAATATCTATTTGCCATATTATTATATTATTAATACATTGTGTATTGCTTGGGTATCATTTATACATAATAAAATTAACATTGAAATAAACCAAAATAACTTACATCCACTACATCCAATTTGGATACTCCTAAATCATGATAGCTCTCAACTTACGTAGTAGAGACGTTACTTCGGACACATTCTACTTCTCTCTTTTCAAAAATAATCAACGAAAATTATTTTATATTTATATAATTTATTTCTAAAAGATAGGTAATTGGTACATTTCGATGATTTTGGTGTATTTTCCCAAAATGTGTATAAATTAAACAATAAGGTAAGTAGGCGTCCTTGTTCACAGCGCACTTACCACGAAATGGTATGCTACTTTTCAGTAGAAATCATTGTAAACAACGAAAGTAATGAGATTTGGCATAGTATAAATGTACCCTACATACAAAGAATCAGTTTTACCCATACTACTATAGAGCATTCATCTAACCCCCTATGAAGTAAATACATAAAAACTGTTTCAATTGCGTTATTTTCCCCACTGTTATCGTAACTAGATAGTACCATTTCCAGAATGTCATTTTTTGAACGTTTAATTTATTATCTCGGGGATATACAGGCTGATTCAAATTCGAGAGCCACCATGAGGATCTCGGGAACCGTAAGAGGTAGGTAGGTAGTTGACATTTGGCAAAGTTGGGGATCAGGTTTGAAACTGAAAAAATTCCGACTACTTTCAGAGAAAAAAACGAAATTTTGCAAAATCGTTTTTATTTTTTACTAAAGTTATTTAAATAGATACTTACTTTGAATTAAATGACACATTATTACCTATGTCCACTTTTTTCTCTCTACTTCATTTCAAAATTGTGCTCCTGAACGTATGATATTCGGAATTTGGGACCACTCATCTTCTTGGTCATATCTATTCAAGGTGCATCATCGTGCTGTGTGAGTAAATGCAGGACTAGGGTATCGAGATCGGGTCGGAGATACCTTCGAGGACCTGCACACAGCACTATTGACTTTTCTGGGAATGTATGTCCTTGAAAGTGTTTTCTTCTCCAAAAATTACATACGAAAATACCGACATCAATCCGACTATCATACTCAACACTAGACACAATGAAGATGTTAGAATCAATTTTTACCGATTGCAAAATTGTCAAAAATATCAATCCAACTCTCCTATATAACAAGTTTCCAATGACAATCAGAGCATTATATCTGAAGAGTTTCAGGAACACGATCAAATCGTTATTTTTAACAGACGCTGCTATATCTACAACCTCGATGAATTTGTTGTTAAACGAATTTATGTGATGTTTGTTTTACATGTTTTTTTCTGTTTGTTATATTTTAAAAATTTGTTATTTATATACGCAAATTTTTATTTACCTACTACTAACTAAATTGGAAAGTGTTTTTTACTATCAACTTTGACTAACAAGAACTACACTGAGAGAAATAATATAATCAAAGTGTCTACCTGAAAATATTTTAATTACAATAAATGTCTTTTTATTTGCCTCAATTAGTTATCAATTTATGACAATAATCTCATATACTGTGCTAAGTAAAATCGATTTTCTAGAAGTGGTGGATAAGGGCAATTAGACATACTTGCTAAACGCTTGTAGATTTTCATAGGTACAATAACAGCAGATAGCGTTTTCGCTGCAGTTATAAAACTGTTGCATTGAATTTGATATTCTTGCTTAATTACGTTTTTGTAACTGCCACAAACGTTTAGTTTAGTTGGCGTTATGAAATACTAATTTATGGCGAGTAAACATCTACTTGTAGCAATCGTCTTCAGAAGCCGTTTTCGTTCGTTTTTTGACGACCATAAAAGCTGTAGGTATATAGCAATTTCTTCATATACGCATGCAGGTACATTGTGCTGTGCGGGTGTAAGTTTTATTCGGTTTTATTATATGTACCTAGTGTACCAAGAGCTGAAATTTACGCCATACCTACCCCAAAATGAGCGAATTTAAGTCATTACTTATTAAATGGGGACTTGATGTATATTTCGACTATTTTCTTAGGTAAGTAGAAAGAGTTATATTTTTGCTACTATTGCTGTCTACCGAAATTATTTTTTAAGTTTTTAAGCTACTGAGACCCAGTTGCACCAAAAAAATTAAGCCTTGCTTAAAGTTAAGTCGAACTTAAAATCTATGGCAACGATTATTAAGACAATCGTTGCTATGGTATTTTATTTAAGTTATGCTTAACTTTAAGGGATACTTAATTTTGACGGTGCAATTGGCCCTCACTGATGAAAATTGTTCAAATTTTATGTCGTGATGTGTTCAAGGTGTAACGTACAGACACGACCGAGTATATTATGCTTTCAGATATTGTTTATGTCAATCAGTGCATCATTGTAAATAATGAATATTACATCACAATTTATTAATTGTATCCTAAGTGGCATTTTCATTTGATTTTCATTTTTTATTGTTAGATAGGTATAGGATTGTTGTTGTTTTTAAGTGTAATATGTACGTTTTTCATTTTTGTCTAATAAATACCATTGTGAATTACGTTATTACTAATTCCAATTGCCCTTAAGGAATAGATTTTTAACACAATTAAACAAGATGTACTGTAGTAAGTCAATTAAAAACCATTCTAATTTAACTACGTTTCTACAACACCTCGCTTTGCTACCTACAGTTATTTTGCGGTTAAATCTTCCTAAATATATTATATACTTACAACAATTTAGTGTACTATTTAAGGTTATTTAACGTACACTTATTCTAATTAAACTGTTTATTATTCATAATAAATGCCTTTAATTGTCTCTAAAGAAAGTTTATGTCTGTTGCCAGGTTTTCAAATACCTACGGTAATTGATGTAATTACAAATAAAATTAAAATTTGACTGTAATCAAACAGGTACAGAAAACTCTGTTTAATTATCGTGAATAACAAGTTGTATAGTCACATATAGTATTAAATTTTTTTTATTACTGCTAACAGATTTTTCTCTCAGTGTAACAAAAACTAATGTACAGTAACAATTAACAAAATATACCATTAAATTGTAATGACCGTTCTGGGACTTTTTGGCTGTTTTGTACTGTATAGAATCCAGATTGTACCTATATTGTTAGCTTGAAAAAGTTTCAGTTTGTGATACCAGCATGAGATTTTTTCCGAGGGGTTTCTCACTTCTGTAAATTTGTACATGTATAGCGCAAATCGTAATGATTGCGCTTGATTTCCAACTTTCACGCTCATGCAAGTTGCGCAAATTGGCAAATTCACTGAACTCATGCATCAATTTTCACGGTTCAAATTTGGTGCACAAATTTGTCTACAGTACAGTTCAGATTGTCATTGTAAACGATGGACTACGAAGAGGAATTAGCTGGTCTTTGTTAAAAGTGCTAAAAGAAAAAAAAGAAGATCGCAGAAGAGTTAGATTGAAAAAACAGCCAACACAGTCTATTTAAGGCTCCTCTGTAGTCAATCCCCGATATTGGAAAAATAGCTAAACTTTCTTATGAAATGCTGCTTTTGTATTGCAGTCTAACAAATTCTCGATAGTGGATATTCTTTGCAATGATGAAAAGAACGGCGGTACTTAAAAAAAGTTAAAATATAGGTCTTAGTTTTTTAGGAAGATCGATGAATAGAAAAATCGTTTTTCGTAAATAACAGCCGTTGTAATGGGAGTAGAAAAACCTACAGCACCAATTTGGAAATCCGACAGTATTTCCTACGGCGGTACTTAAAGATATTATTTCCACCTATTATGATAATGCATATATTTTAAAAAATATGTATCGCGATCTTTAGAAAAAAATCAAAACGCTAACGTAAGGATAGGCAACTCATATTGCACTATAACTCCTGAGGCGACAACTCATTACTTGAAAGGGAAAACAAAAGAAACTACCTGGCCTTATCCTGCATTGTTACGCCGTTCCTAATGATATGGATTAGATAAATTACTATATAATTAGTGTTCATGAATGCTGTCGATTTGTGAATCATAATGTCACATATTCCCAAGACGAAAAGTGCACTAAATACATATTTATTGTAGATCCATTGGAAATAATTTTTGATTTCCAAAATCTTTTTCATTCTATCAGGATGCGTCAAGAAATTTGTTTAGGAAGGTATCAAATAGTAGCCCAATTTTTAGCTAAACCCCTAGGCGGAATACGACTGTACCAGTAATTAGAAGCATTTTTGCCGCAAATTTGTTCTTGTGTAGAAATGTGGCACCGTTTTGATTATTTGGACTAACGCATGACCACCACACAAACGGGTAGCACAGTATCACAATTCGCAAACACTACTACTGAGTCGAGACTAGAGAGGCAAGTGCTACTTATTTTTTAAATATATATGATCAGATATCAGGAATATCCGCTTATCAAAAAAATAAAGGAACGACAAATTTCGATTTTTACATATAAATTGGCGAGAAAGTTGCGCCCAATAGTTTTCACATTCTGAGCCTACCATTTCAAAGAAATTCGATTGCACTTGTTCATTTTAACTGAAATGTTCCAATTCCCCTTTTTAGCTAAATTTCTAAGCGGGATACGATAACTAATAGGCGACACTGACAAATTTATTTAAAAAAAGTGTCATTGTTTTGCTCATGTCAAGTCAAGGTAGTGAGACATCACGAAAATGAATATTTGTATCAAAACATGGGTGAAATTTTGGATTTTTCCGGTAATTAGTGGTGGTTAAAAAAATTCTCCCACTTTTAAAAAAATTCAATTATTTATTTTTTCCGTTTGAGAATATGATGGAATCCCGCAAACTTCACATCAACTTAGCGAATATGAACTGATATCTCGGATCTTGCCTCTCAGAAAATAGAGGATCAACTGCGGAATCAACAAATTTTACAACTGAATTCTCAATTTAGGATAAAAAAGCGAAGTTATCTTGCTGCACATAAGATGTTTGGAAAAATTCTACATGGGTTGTGCATGGGTAACGCTAAATGTACAATTATTATTTTTTGAAAAGATAAGAATTTATTTAAAAATCGGTATATGTTATACTTTTAATCATTGTAACACAATTTTAAATGTTAGCTACCATTTTTATAAAAAACAATACATTTTTTGTTGTTGTTCAGTGTTCACCCTTATTGAATAAGAAAATAAAGAGATTTATTTTAGGTGTTCGAAGTGCCGGTTTATTAGGTTCTACCATACCTAAGTCCTAAGTGAATTCATTCATTCACATGTCTATCTAATAACTATAAAAATCTATAAATCAGTAAAATTGATTAGAAAAATTCACAGGAAATAAAGGGGTAATTAAAAAATGTTATAACAAACAATGCTAATCTAGTCCAGTAATTGCATGAAAACCACGTAATTTACAGAAGGTGTCATTATAGAAAAATGCAGTAAATGCATTGAATAAGTAATTTACTCAATAGTAAAAGAAATAGGCATTTGTGCATCTCCATTCAAATATTGTACAGCTTTTCGCTAAACTTGTTTACATAATATAGTCCTTGACCATTATACATGGTCTATTGTGTTTAACAATAAATGAAGAGAATATGCAAAACTGGAAAGGATAGAGATACATCGTTGGTCTCACTCAAGGAGTGGGTACATCGTCTAGAGATGTGTATTGTTGGTGGTCTAACCAATTGCAATAACATTGAAATACAAATTGACTACAGAGGAGCCTTAAAGCCACGTGCACGTCGGAACAACAATTCTGTCTACTATTATTCACCCTCTACGCATGCGTCGAATTGGTGTGTCGTTTACACGTTCATGCATTTCACCAACCACATGCAAATTATCTGACCATCCACATTTTATTGAAGCCAAATTTTCTGGTTTGCGCAATTGAACAATTTTCGTTTTCATGCGCCAATTTACATGCACAAGTCAATTTGCGCAAATTGCATGAGCGTGAAAACGCACCATTAGAGCTGGCGATTTACATTGATTGCACGATAATTCCCAAATGGATGTGTATGAGATATCCTTCCCTAATTATTTTAGAAATAAAGGTCTATTTAGGTGTTTTGTAGAGAAAAAATAACCGTACTTACTATTGTGTTATATATTATAAATTCAGAGACGGTAAACATTTTTAAATCACAAACTGTCGCGTTTAGAAAGCCGGTAACCCCATATGGAATTATGAGAACAAACAAAAGCGCATGCATTTATCATTAGTTTGAGGTTTATTATTTACTATAAGTAATTATTAAAGGCAAACTAATGATAGAGAAATGCAAGAACTTTATTTGATCTCAAGCTGCCATGGCATCACTGATTTTCTTAAAGCCCGCTTGACATGGAGCAATAAAAATTGCAATTGCATGCAAGTTGCAAGAAAAATTGCGAAAGGCATGCGCAGTTCAAAGCCAGCTGATCAATTGCTGCAAGAGACTTGCATGCAATTTTTATAGGACCGGTGCTATTTTTCTTGCATGAATCGTGCAATTCTAGGGATAAATCTAGTTGTTTTTGTGTCACCAACCTAGTAAAATACAGCGGCGGCAACTATGATGCTGAGAGACGCACTCATTACTTGTTTTTATTAATCTTATTTATTCTTGTAATTTTCATGTTTCTTCAAGCAATCAAAATTTAATTTTCATTTGAGGTTAACTACTTTGTTGACAAATCCATATGTTTCTTCTGTTGGCAGACATGTGGCAATTGAAATAGAGTTGCACCATGTCAAATACCATGCAATGCTTATTGCATGCAAGGATTTGACCTTGCAATTTCTTTCTGCAAGTTCTTGCGCGTTGTATTGCTCCATGTCAAGCGGCCTTAAGCGCCGGTTTTAAATAATCCAATTTTTCTAGTTTCAAAACTCAAAAACTTAAAAGCTATAGTATAGCTGCTATGGTCTATATTTGCCCATTTCGATCATTTTCATTTAACTCCATATTTTGCGCAGACTGCGCAATCCCATCTTTCATATTTATGGAGATATTTCTTTGAAATTTTAACCACAGACGCTTCTAGTAAAGATAAACATTTCGCACATAGTAAAAATTATGTGGGCACGCCTGCGCAATGCTAACTTTCTTATTTATGGAGATATTTCTTTGAAATTTTAACCACAGATTCTTCTAGTAAAGGCAAACATTTCGCACATGGTAAAAATTATGTGGGCATGCGCAGTGACTGCACAGACTGCTCATAGCCAACTTTCTTATGTATTAGTAATATTTCTTTGAAACTTTATTTTGCTTATTTAACTCCTCTCTTTCTCTGGACGTGGACGTGCTTCAATATGTAGATTCGACATTTTGTGTGCTTGGAAAATGTCAATCAAAAGCTTAATTTTTCCTTTAAAGTATCCATATCATAATCGTAGATGAACAACATTACAGAAACCAAGCGTATTTTATTAATTTTAATTCCGTGCAACACATCAAATTTTCTTGTCTACAAAATTCTAAAGAAACTGTGATGGTGCAGACAATCTAATGCGTGGTACCTACTCTTCTTTTGTGTTCTTGTTATATACAACCATATACGCTGAGTACGATGTGCGCATAATCTGTAAGTAACAATTTTACTTTTTTCAGAGTTCCGCCACTATTTGTTTCTTACCCAAGCAAAGGTCGGCAATCCGATTGAAGTAAATTTTCCCGCCGTCAGTGCAGTAGCCCTCTGACTTCTGAGCATGGCCAGCTGCAGTGCTCGCTGAAATCTCAAATCGGTTCCTGCAAAGTTCGATTCCAAAATAGAATGCGCAACCGATTCGCTTTCGTTCGCAACTTCTTGTCCCCAAAAGCATATAATCAAAACCTGAAGAGCTATTGACATTCCCTCAAACAAATTTCGAAGGACTTGCGTGTCGGTGAAGGGTAACTGGAAAGTGTCGTCCATGATATTGTGGCAAGGTCGACGCTTTCTTACCGTAGACGCCCGATAAATAATAAAACACAACATTCCGAGTGTACTGATAAAGACGAAAAGTAGTAGACCACTGCATAGTTCCTCCATTTCGTCTGCCATATCTAGAATTGCCATATGATATCGAATCGTTTCCTTCAATGTTTGATTCAGGTACTTCCATTGAACTATTGGTTGTCCAGTGGGATCGCATATTTTTACAGGGCCACATTTGTCCTCCTTAAATGTGGATAGTGATGTTAGACAACATGCATGTAACCCATCAAGATGACAATACAATGAAAGTGCTATGGATATAATTGTGTACTATTTTATTAAGGATCCTCAGATCCTTTATAGTTTTGTATTGTCGTCCGTCCTTCCGTCCGTCCGTCCGTCCGTCCGTCCGTCCGTCCGTCCGTGTGCGCTCTAACTCTTTTTAAAAGTGGCCGATTGTGTTGAAATTTGGTATACGGGTACGTTGGACATTAAGAACGGACGCTATTGATTTTCAGGAAGCTGGCTCAACAGGAACAAAAGTTATACGACTTCGAGTGAATCGGGAACAGGAAAAACTGCGAACTCAATATAATAAAAATTAACATATTTCATTCCCTAGGTCATGTATCGAGTTCGGACTTTCGCTAGATTATTCCCTATGACTCTTAGATGTGTAACAATTCAATATAACTCTCTGTGGTCTCGGTCAAAAGTTTTAGAGCAAAATGTACCCAAAATTATTCTTTACACATGAATTTAGAGTTGTAAAAGCTTTCAAACGCATTATCTTGACATGAATTTGATGCATTTTTGGCGACCACGTGGATTTTGATCAAAACATGTCAAAATCGTTATTTATGTACCAAGAGCGTTGGGAAAAAGACTACGCGCATTATCTCAATGCCCAAGACATAAATTTGATGCATTTTTGGCGACCACGTGGATTTTGATCAAAACATGTCAAAATCGTTATTTATGCACCAAGATCGTTGGGAAAAGACTAGGCGCATTATCTCAATGCCCAAGACATGAATTTGATGCATTTTTGGCGACCACGTGGATTTTGATCAAAACATGTCAAAATCGTTATTTATGCACCAAGAGCGTTGGGAAAAAGACTAGCGCATTATCTCAATGCCCAAGACATGAATTTGATGCATTTTTGGCGACCACGTGGATTTTGATCAAAACATGTCAAAATCGTTATTTATGCATCAACATCATTGGGAAAAAGACTAGGCGCATTATCTCAATGCCCAAGACATGAATTTGATGAATTTTTGGCGAAAACGTGGATATTGATCAAAACATGTCAAAATCGTTATTTATGCACCAAGATCGTTGGGAAAAAGATCAAGAGCATTATCTCAATGATCTAAACATGAATTTGATCTATTTTTATGGACCACATGGATTTTGATCAAAACATGTCAAAATCGTTATTTATGCACCAAGATCGTTGGGAAAAAAACCAAGAGCATTATCTCAAAGCCCAAGACATGAATTTGATGCATTTTTGTTAACTATAAAATGTATTTTGTAAGATTAAAATAAATTGTCGTTAAAAGTGATTGTAATACTGAGGATCCTTCGATATTTCGTTGTATCGGTTTATTTTATTTTATTTTAATGTATCAAAGTCTTTAAAAACTATTGGGATCGGTCAACTGTGTGTAAGTAATGTTTTCAAAAGGTTAATTGCAATCACTTGAGTGGGATATCCTAAACCTGCGGGATTAGTATTTTGGGAAATTACAAAATACCTTCAACCTATGGTTCACTCAGTTTTCTGTAGGTATTAGCTCCAACAAGATACTCAATTTCGAGACTTGGAATTTGACATTATGGCGGAGTTGCATAAGGTTACAGATTCTTTTATCCACTTTACTTTGTTCCAGAGTATATTTATCTAACCAGTCTAATGACTTCATAACAATCTTTATCAATACTGAAACGATAACGAGGTAATGCGCGCTACTTATTTAGAATTAAATTGTTTCTCACAAACTTTAAGGACTGAGCTCGGGACTGAGTAAGCACACCGACACACACGTCTCGTTCAGACGTTCCATATTGATTTTGAGAGTAGCCTCACCAGTACTCCCAGACCTTTGATTTTCCCTATGAAAGTACTCTCTTCCGACACCGTTTTAGAAATATTCGGATGTGAAGTTTTAACAGCCACCGACGATAAATATGTCTCGCCCAGACCTTCCACTGTCCCTTTGAGGGTACCCTTGTGCGACACTTTATTTTCAGGATATTAGGATTCGAACTTTTGATCCCACCTGCTGATCACGCTACTTAATAAACGTTAATTGAACATTGGTACATAGCTTTCCAAAGTTTTTCAATTGAAAGCAGCGATAACTGATAAGTAACGATTTTGGCACCTCAATCAGTAAATTATTTTTGACTTGAGCCTTTGTCCGAGCATTTGACCTCGTACGAGTCATGTGACACCCTGCACAAAACAGAAGCCCTTTTCCTGTAATCGCGGACACGGACTGAACCATCGTCCATCGTTTTATATGGGCAACGTTCAACAAATTAGAGACAAGCTGAAATTTGGCAAGGTACTTTGTTATAAGGCTCTAAACACCCTCTGAAACCCCAGCGTCGAGGCATTGAGCATCACCCTAAAACCACCCCCTAAGTGGAATAAAATCTACCTTTTTTTAAATTTTTTTTAATAACTAAAAACTAAGCATTCTAAGAAAAAATGTCAAGGAGTGAAAATTGCAGAGAAGAAATTTTCCTACCATATATGTATACGTCAAATTGGTTAGATGTTCCGTGGCGCAAATTTCAGCAACTCATTCAACTACTTAATCGAAATACTGTAGTATTTCCTAATATTAGGTACTATAAAACGCCGGAAACTGTTCACTTAGGTTGCCTACAACATGATGAATTCAATACTGCTTGCAAGGGGGTCTTCGAAGTGATCCCCCACAACTTTAAGCAACCCCCGCCACCCCAATCGTGGGCGTCTCGACTTTTCCGGCACCTCATTCTCATTCAGTTCCTACTTGCAGTTAGTGTTGCTGTGAAGAGTCAATATTTTTCAAACTCTCCTATTTTATCGCATTTTTGCAAATTTATTTGTAGTAATTTTCTTACTTCGGCCGGCTGGTTGGCTGGCTGGCAGCAAATGCGGACCCGTAGAATAACGCTTGTGGAAAGAGGAGGAGTGTACAATTGTACATCTACCGGGGTCATGTAATGAACAACATTAGCGACGGGGCATCAAGATCGGGGGTCAGCGACATCTGGGCGCCATCCTCGAGTGTTATATTAACGTGGTGATTTTTCAGTGTTTTTATATCTTCTTCTATAGTTTGGGCCCGATTGTTTTCAAATTGGTGTCGTCGGAGAGATCTTGTAAACGCGCCCAACTCCTGCTGTGACGACATATTTTTTTTTCGGAGAGGCGAAATAAACCACCTTTTGCAAAGCGCGCGTCTTTGAGGGGTAATCGGCTTCGGCCGCCCAAATGTTGCCTTTCGGATAAAAAATTGTACTTACAAAAAAAAAAGTGTCCACTTTAGAAAAGTTTTGCAAGTGCATTGTTTTGCTCGCTTCCCTCTTTCCATTGACGCATAGAAAAGATATCGTTTCCATTTGAAAATTTCAAGTTTTTGACCAAAAACCGATTGTCAACTTTGAACGATTATTCGTATTATTTTCGAATCAAACTTGAAAACCAGAGCAATAACATGTAATAGCATGTATTTTGAGCAAAAAACATTTTGCTAAGTTGTCAGACAATAGTGATATGCCTAATTTACTGAGCCTCTGAAACTGTTAGACTAGGTTTTAAAATAAGAATGTCAGAAGCAATTCATATAACAATTGGAGAAACAACTTATTTAGACTAATTAAACGTTGCCGAATCCGAAAATGCCTGTTTCCACGTCGACAATTGGACCGAAAGTCCGGAATCCAAGATGGCGGCCAAGATGGTGTCCGGAGCATGTTTGAGCGTATCTACCGTGTCTTTTGAGCTAGAATCGTAATATACCTTAGACGTCGATTTTGGAGTTTTCATAAGTAAGAAAATCAATTCAATGCTTAAAAAAACAGCTGATGTTGATGGAGCATGTTTATTATTCGCTGATCGCGGAAGGTGTGATTTACGGTTTTTTTTATGAAAGGATCAGTTTTTATGCATACAGTGTGAACAGTGCGTGTCAACTAGTAAATAAATGTGAGTGCTACAGTACGTGCAGTGAGAGAACCTGAATTCTTTGCTTTTGTTGTAGCTGTTGTTACGGTAAGTAGTCACCGGTCGTCTCTTAATTTTCGTGTGAAAGATTTTTGTTTTTAAACGCGGTGTGTTATTAATTCCCCGCAGGCTGTTTTACATTAAATTCCTTTCTACAAGCGAGTACTACGATTAATCATAATCTGTGATTTTATGCCAGAAAGGTCGAGGAAAGGAGGAGAAGTTGTCAGAGCTACTTAACGAACTTAGGAAAGCAGAGGCTGTATTTTCAAAATACCGACAAGACCATCGTTCATGCTACTCCAGCTTCACTAACACAGCACATATGGAACGGCTGAAAAAGAAAAATGAGCTTATTGAACAAAATGCCTCTACTCCCGAGTCCAACAGTCGTTATTTTACTAGGACCAAGACTGCTCCTGTGCTGAATGAAAAGTGCATTTTTTGTCAAAACGACACAAAGGAACACCCCAGACTCGTTCACTGTTCAGTCTGATAATAATATGAAGAAACCCATAATGGATTTAAGTGCATTTGATTACAGGCTGCATATTCGAATCAACTGTATGCTGTGCTTGATAGCAGGAGACGTAAAATATCACAGCATATATGTTTGTTAAAAGCTAAAACGGCTCAAAAGCAGCATAGAGGGCCCGTCGAACAAAGTAATTTACCATTCATGGAAATTTGCAAACAGCTAAAAGTATCAGCGTCCTTTGAGCTACGTAAGTCATTATTAATTTCTTATTTACATTAGAATTAAGGGCATTGCCTAGATAGATAGTGAAAATTCCTTTTTTATTTCCAGGTTTTGCGTCTTTCCGATGTCTTTCTGTGTCCTTCCGATCCAGATGATCAACATTTAGAGGATTTCATGACGTTTTTACCGACGTATTCCTGTTTTACCAGGGAAAAAACTGCACGGCACCTTCTTTTGATACCCGCGAAATTGTCAGCAAAAATTACGGCAGATCTGGCAGCTGGTGACGAGTGACGACCTCTCCGGGTTGACTCTGCCAGAGTATCGTTCCGAAGATGACCTCCTAACAGTTGTCGATGCAGCACTGAAGATTCGAGAAGACCTCAACTCAACGCCTGGCCACTCTGGACGTCTCGCAACCTGAGGCTGCAGCCGTAGCGCCTAAGTCACTTCATTTGTTTTTAAGTGTTGCTTGGTGAAGAAAGAGCCCTTTATGATATGGATTCTGAACTGGACGATTATAGTGAAGAAGACGACGAAGATGACTATTTGGAGGTTTCAGATGCAATAAACAGGAACGTTGAGTTGCCTATAGGCCAAGACACCGTGTACGCTGTAAGCAGAGGAAAAAAGTTGTAGATGGAAGTTGCAACAGTGCCCGTTTTGATGACCCTTGATCCTGTTCCAAAAGAGTGCATTGATATCAAAACTTGTAATTGTCAAACGCAATGCGCAAACAGAATGTGCGGATGCAAAAGGTCCGATTTGTCGTGTACAAAATTGTGTTACTGCAAAGGCCAATGTCTGAACTCTCGCATCTTGAGTGATGAGTTAACTCAGGAGCAGGAATAAGTTTAAATTTTGAAAAGTTAGTTTAACAAGTGTATCAAGTGAAAAAATAGCGTTTTTGTTTATTATGTAACCTTATTTCGTAATGAAAATGCCGCGTTAGGATTTCCATAGAATTACTCTATAATCATGGTCTTTTTACTGCCATATTTTGGGCGAAAAATTGGCCCTAAAACCATAAGATGCCTTTTTTTAAAGCATTGCATTGAATTCCTTACCATTGAAAACCTCAAGATCGACGTTTAAATTACGATTTTATTTAAAGAGACAAGGTATAGATACGCTCAAAGGTAATCTGGACGTCATCTTGGATTCCGGACTTCCCGTTTAAATCACGACGTGGAAACATGCATTTTCGGATTCAGCGAGGTTTAATTAGTCTAAAAAAGCTGTTTCCCCAATTGTTATATGAAATGCTTCTGACATTCTATATTTCCAAATATGTGCCTAGTCTATGTGAAAAAATGTCAAATAAAACTTCGAAACCATGTCAGTTAGACATAGCATCATATTGACAAAATCATACTGATTTTTTATGAGGAATTCAAAAATGCCATCAGAAAAGATAGTGCCATTTGCAATAAGAAAGTTCCGGTATCCTTCTGATACAACCGGAATATCGGCCATCTTGAAAATATATTTAAATGATTCCTTTTGATCGATTATTCAAAAAAGGTAATGGGTCCCGAATTAAAATTCCAAACCGTTCCTCAGATACTTCTAATGGTCGACTTAAAAACACTACCCTGTAGAAAAATGATAGAAAAAAGTAACTTTGAAAAACGTTAAGTTTCCCCCTAACCCCTTTTTCAAAATTTGTCATGGCTTAACTGTGATGGCGCTAGGTTTAATTCAAGTGGCGCAATAGCGCGCATATCCAGATGTATCAGATGGCATAGATACCAGAGACAAAATACGTGGGGAGGGGGGCTACATATACTTGGCCCCTCCCAAAGGTTTTTTCGGATGGCTAAAAAACGATAATGGCGCAAGATTTATTATCGAAAGCGCGTATGAGCGCATAATGAACGTATTACTTTATAATAAAACGACATCAAACCGGTAAGTTGGGGGGGGGGGGCGGTTAACGCTCCTGACTGCAAGTAGGTACGAACTAAACGGACTACGGAGAATGAGGTACCGGAAAAGCCGATACACCCACGATTGGAGTGGAGGTGGTTGCTTAGAGTTGGGGGGGGGGGGGGGTACTTTCGAAGACCCCCTTACAGGAGACAGTATTCAATTCATCATGTTTTACGCAACCTTAGTGAATAGTTTCCGGCGTTTAATACTAATATTAGAAAATAAAATATAATAGTATTTCGATTAAGTAGTTGAATGAGGGGTGACGGGCTCAGCGCATCGGCGCTGGGGTTTCAGACGGTATTTAATACCTTGAAACAAAGTACCTTGCCAAATTTCAGCTTGTCTCTAATTTGTTGAACACCATCCTGTATAGTCCCTGTGTTAATACAGGCAATCCGTTATTGGCAGTGGTATTCAGAAAAATGACATTTCTCTGCAAATCTGTGCGTTAGACATAGTGGAGGGGGTTTTGTTCGACTCTCTAAGAGTCTAAAGTACGTTTAGTGGCGTGTTAGTAAAAAATATTACCACTTGTTTAGCAAGGCTGTTGCTAACGATCCTTCGAAAACTGTTTTGAAGCATCTTGAATTGGAAACTGATGTGCACCAAAATATCCGCAACAAGTAAATCGGCGGTGACGAAATGGTAACCAATCCAAATTATGCTGAGATTCTGATAGCAAAGTGATATCTCGTAGTTAGGGCTGTAAGTGATATTCAATATGGTTATTGGGCCGTATGCAAACTCCCAATCTCGGAAATCATTACTCGATACTCGCTTAATGATCGTGAAAAGGAATCCTGCCGTTAAAGTAATTGAGCCGAGCCCGTAGTATATATACGTCTAAAGGGTTGTAATATAAGCGTATACGCTTTCTGTAAAATACCAAGTGGTTTACTTGCGCGTTTGTGATCCATATGCATTTCTTTATCAGGGCCTCCTCCTCATCTCCTCCTCGCTTCCTGTTTAAAGTGAAGGGCTCTTCTTCAAGTTTGTCCATCATTCGCCCAATTTTTAGACGATTACGCACGATTATCAAAGTTTTTGCGAAGCCTGTTCACACAAAATAATTTAATAGTTTAAATCATTTTGACTTACCGATGAAAATCCCAAAAGTGTACATGATCATGTTAGCGACGACATCAAATTCGTGGTTGAATAGCTCCCTTAACGCAATGAACGGATAGGAAACGCTAAAAATAAAAATTGACACAAACGAAAATATTCTGTACGAAATATGTTCATTTCCAGTAAAAGAGATTCCCAGCAGTTTGGCGATCTTTTTCTGCTTTTCGAAATAGTACTTTGGTTTAGCTTGGTTTGACATGTCGCAAACTGAAAGGGGTTTTTCTGTACAAGAGAAAATTTCTCTCTCATTACGCTTTTATGGGTTACAAACCTGTAATTTTTTAGATAAAGCAGTCGCTTTGAGCATAATAATACACTAGAAACCCATCAACTTAATATTTTTGTAAATCGTTTTACTCAATTTTTACCGCTCATCACGATACCAAAACATGTATCTTTCGGTAATTTTGTCTTAACAAATTACATGTATTAAGGACATGCCGTGTGCTTGTGTAACCCACATTACTTGTAAGCTCCCTAAATACATGATGATGATTATTAGTGATTTCGGACAGTTAATAAGTTTACGTGCGCTAAAGTTAGAGGTAAGACTAATGGCTTAAACGTTTAATAAACGCGCGGAAAGTTTTGTCTGAAGTTTAAGGGTTTAGCGAACTTAATTTACATTATAATGACTTAATCTGTTGGAGCACTTGATCTCCGCTAAGTAGTAAGACGGTTTTGAAGGTGTCGCATTGTTTTGTGTGGAAAATAGCGAAATGGCTTTTCCTTGCAGAAAATCACTAATGCAGACACGTCTTCACGGAAGTTTCCCATTCTAATTGCAGCATCCGAAATTGTTGTTATACTTCCTTTGGTATAGGCAGCATACTAGAGATGCACATGCAAGCTCTCTATATCTTCAACATATCTGGGGTTAGACACAACAATATCAGAAAGAAAAAATGTTTAACGAATGATTCGTTATACACTGTGTCCAAGAAAAGGATGCCTATCATGGGGATCTCCGAAACCATAGAAGATATGGCGATGGTCAAATTAGAGTAAAGATGCGCAATTAAAGTTATTAGCATGTGTTAAAGAAAACCAGAAAATTCCGATTACTTTAGAACATAAAAACGGAACTTGCCGATTTCGTTTTTATATTATTATTACTATTATTATTATTCACCAAACAATTAGGAAAACAAATACAAGATACCAGTGGAGACCCAAGATCTACCACCTTCTTCCGCCAGAAGATCGCCCTCGAGGTTCAAAGAGGGAATACCGAGATGATAATACGAACTCTACAATTCTACATGACAGCCAATGATACAACTATAAAATATTATAGTCAATTAGTGTAATAATTATAAAAATCAATAAAAGAAAATAATAATTATTATTTATATTTATATTAAACAAATTTGCAGAGTGTTGATTTCAACAGGATAGTGCACCCGCGCACAACGCCCGAATTGTGCGAGAATACCTATGGGAACATTTTTCCATTTTCCAAAAAAATGTATCGATAGGTATTCTTACACGATTCCGTTGTTGTGCGTGAGTGCACCATATCCTGTTTAAACCAACAGTTTCCAACTTTGGTTTTTTGTGTGTGCCGTATATTGTTGTATTCGTAATAAAAAATGATACTCGATACAGTATGGGCCATATAAAAAAATAAAGATGATGATGATTTCCCCGACACGAAACGTATTTACAATCTCTCAACGGTGCCTTGTAGAGTTCAAAAAGTGGTAATGAGAAAGTAGTTTTTATTTTTTTGTATCTGTTCAAATAATAACAAATAAAAATAAAAACGAAATCGACAAATTTCGGTTTTTCTGGCATATCTTCGGAAGTAATCGGAATTTTCTGCTTTTATTTAGAGTTTGCGATTTCCTATCCACAAAGGCAAAATGAATTGTCTGAACAAGACATATCTATTGGTGAAGTCTTTCTATTAATCATCTATCAAGAAAAAAAACCATCGATAAATATATAGCATGCTACTACCTAATAACCACTAAGCTGTTTCGGTTTTAAAAAATGCGCTTTATCATTGATTATATACTTTATAATAACAGGAGTTATCCACAATTTATACTTGTTTGTTTACTCAACAATCACGTGAAACTGAGTCAAATAAATATCGTCTACATTACCTTGGTAGTGTAGATCACGCGAAGAAGAGCGTCAAAATTGAAGACGAAAACAGTATTGCGTCAGCATTTTTGTTACATATATTGTGCTTTGGTCCGGGAAACAAAATACAGCTATCGCACTTATATCTTATTGTATACATGAAACTATTTTTAAATGTTAACCTTCAAAAGGTAAACTGTGATTGGTTGATACCACCATTGAGTAAATTTGCACCATGATAAGTAGGCCTACCTGTATTAGCTGTATTTCATAAATCTTGACGTTGACGTAGTATAAATCTTTACACTATGATTTGATAAGCTCTTCAATTTAGTATAAAAGACTAGAGCTCGTACGACTTGCAAAATAAAAAAAAATGAAGTTCCTTCTTTATGTTCAAGTCATATTATTGCTGGCGTTTCAAGTAGCGTTCTCCCATTCTGAATGCCTATGCGTCGTTCCACAATTCTGCAACGAAGGTCCTGGCGTTTATGTAACGTAAGTTTTTTACCTGATAAACCCGCAGTCTTCCAAAATACTTTAGTTTGCTATTAATAGTTAGTGAAACATTAATAATCCAATACAATTAAACAAATAAAATATTTATTTATCTTCCATTGTTTATTATTGCCATTATCTGTACAGGTTGTCCCACATCGCACAGTATTGCAATTTTTGTTTGCTAAAAATTTGCTGATTGCTGATTTAAAAAATACTGAATATCATAAAATTAAATACCTCCGTTGTTATTTTAATAAACCAAACCAATAAATGTAACATTTTTTCATTTTTTGGTGTCTCCTATCAAAATATCAAACTTCACAGTTTATAGAATAACGCGTAGGTACCTGTGTTTGTTATTTTTGATGTCTTAAACAGAGATAACTGCATCAGCCATTGCTCATTTAAGCTGATATCAATATTAAAGTTACCCATGCAATCCTGTTCGATCTGGGATAAGTATGGCGTTTATACATACAGTTTAACAAATAATTACTATACTTCTAGGGGTCCATGTTCCTTTCTTGGAATTCAGGGAATGGTAATATGCTGTCGAGATTCCTAACGGGACAATATCAAAATAGTTATGTTCATAAATAATACATATTGTAATCCAATTGAATAAAGAGTACACCATCTAGCCTTAGCCTGCCAAGCTTCTTCAAACTGTATGCATAAGTTGGTTATGGTTATGGATAAACAACAAAACCAGTATAAATACTACTTACAGATTTTAGGGCTGTTTTTATTGTGGCTTTTGATTACATGTTATAATGTATAGGTACTTAATATCCAATATGAATACGTTTGTTTCCATGGTCAGATATAAGCAAGCAAGGAAAACCCGTAGGTTGACCACGTTGTCAGTCAAACTTAAACTATTTGGGGAGCTGTCACATCATGCCACCTGGGACCTTATACCACAGTAACATCTACTACTTATACACAGTGCGTAAATAATAATAAAAAAAAAATAATAAAAAACCTTTGATTATATAAGTCTATATTCAAAGTACTGAACATAGGTACGAATCTCCTATGTTTAATTCGTAAATACTCCTTAAGATATGCAACCAATCTAACTTACATTCATATTTTTAGCGGATTTCCATAAAAATAAAAAATGCGCTATTGTGGCCACTTTGTCCGTCCGTCCGCTCGTTCGTTGAGACGCTACTGGTTCTTTATCTTACGAACTATTTTTCTACTTTTTTCGCTATTTGGTTCGTTATGGTGTCGAGGCTTACACCAAGGAAGAATTTTTTTCTGCGTTTATTACTAAAAAAGTTATTGTAAAAAAAAACAAAAAACCGATTTTTACATGTTCCATAATTTTACACTTTTACCGTTCATTAACGATCCTAGAGCTCGTTTATAATTTTGTATTGCTGTCTGTCGTCTGTCTGTTGGTCTGTCCGTCTGTTCCTTTGTCTGTCTGTCCCTATCTGTTCGTGTTAACGATAACTTTGTTTAGAAATGTCCGATCGATTTGACATCTCCGTTAGTTATGAACTGAATTGCAGGAAATTCAATATGGGATAGCTCTAGCCATATAATACGAAATGCCAAAAGTTGAACCGAATCGATTCACAATTCACAGTGCCCTTTTCGCATCTCGACCATTTATAAACCGAATTGCAAACTTTTTTATTTATAAAAGTATTTAGGTAAATGAAATTTGATACATAGGCACATCAGCACTTGGAACAAAGGAAAATCTAACGTTAGTTTCAAAATTTAGATTTGCGCATGCGCAGTTCCAACTTTTTTATTTAGAAAAGCATTGAAATGAAATTCTTCTTATAAACTGAAATTGAAATAGCATGTCAAAAATGGATTGCCCATGTGCAACGCTATCTTTCATATTTGTGGCCGGATTTTTACGATTTTAACAGAAGTTGCATCTTACAAATGGGAAATGAATGCAAGTGGAAATGCGCTTTATGTAAATCGTTTACGATTACTTTTTAACTTGTTTTTATTTGTAGATGGATTTTTCTAAAATTTTAAAACAAATTATTGCGCATGCCCAGATCCACATTCGTTATTTGTGAAGCAATCCTTCTGAAATTTTAGGGTAAGACTCGTCTCATAAAATGAAATTGAAGTATAGCTCGTCAAAAATAAGCAATCTTTTTTATTTGATTTTTGACTGTCTTTCTAGAATTTTTGGAGCTGCTGAAAAATGTCCGCCGAACTGTTGATCGCCATCCGGTTGCCAGAGTTTGATAAATCCTTTGACAACTTTTTTTCAGCGCGTTTGCTGTCTTTATTTACAGAAATTGATTCCTAATTTTCAATTCATCATGTAATACCTCTCATTAAATAAAACTGAGTGTTTCTGTAAGAACGAATATATTATCACCCAATAGCGACAATACGTATCTACATACCGGCAAGGATCATAACTAATTCACTTAAAAATATCTCACTACGTATAGATATTCAACAATCGAAAACTGCACACACGGTATAATACAAGCAAAGAGTAACTATAATTACTCTTTGATACAAGAATGTATGAGCCATACTGCCATCTCGGTGGAAGCGTTCCTGGAAATATTGGTTCGACTTCAATCAGTTCGGACAGCGGAAGTTCGTAATATGTTGCTATCGTTGGTTTTCCAGTGCCTCACTTCTATGCGTACTGATAATTCTAAATCTGAAAACACCAGATCAGATCTATGAGCTCTGCACCACAAGCATAGAATATCGGGATGCTGAATGCTGATCTGATAAAGCCGACACCTGAGCCGACATGTGTGTTCGAGCTCAGCAAGATGCACTGCAGTTTTATGCGAATCTGTGTGAAAGTGCAAGTGTTTGTTTATTCTGACAGCCAGATTTTTATTTGTTTTAGGGCCGGTATTTCCATCTCGGGATAAAGTCAAGTATAAGATATCTTCCAGGTAAACCGACAGTTAGCGTCGCTTCGGGTATTTCGAACCTCGTTTAAATATTATCGGCAGGATAAGTTCTAGATAAAGTTATTGGGTAGATTTTCTGCAGTTATCAACATAACCCCAGGATATTGCGTCAAATTTCCAGTAAACTGGTGACGATTTAAAAATTTGCGAAATTACCAACCGTGCCTATACTAAATAGGAAGAAAGAAATTGATGTATGGGAGTAGAAGTACGCAAATACATACTGTTTTCAAGGATATAGGTAACCTATTTTAGATTCCAAATGGATCAAGATTTTCCTCGAGATTTTCTTGACACAAACACACGATTTTCAGATGTGCTGAAATTAGCAGTTCTTTTCTTTCTACGCGGTGCATTTACATCACGATTTTGGTTCATGTTCAGAGTACTCATAAGTAAAGCTTATTCTGTAATTTACGTTTGACAAGTAGGTATACATGGGCGCCGCTACATAGGGGCAAGGAGGGGCCTTGGCCCCCCCCCCCTGGGAGAAGGGAAAAATAAAAGGTAACACTTGTCGTACGTCTGTATATTGGTATTTTTCAGTACATTGAGAAGAATAAAAACCTGGGTCCGGAACAAGACTGGAAACAACAGACTTAGTGGTCTTTGTTTGATGTCCGTACATAGACATTTTATAAAAGACAATCAGGAAGAGTTTTGAGAAGTGCATAGATCTCTTTGGAACAGATAATAGAAGAGTTATGTTTTTGTTTAAATAAAATGAAACACAATAAGTTTGTTACTGGCACGTAACCTTGAGTTTGCATACCCCCTCCACTCACGTCCATATTAATGGTGAGCTTGCCCCCTCCTACAAAATTTCCTGGCGGCGCCCATGTAGGTATATTACAAGTCACTGAATTTCTTTCCAAAACAAAAGCATTCGTTCAAATTGTCAGGTAGTAAGCTATCTTGCTCTAATATATGGCCCTGCCGTTCGCTATCTTTTTCTATTACAGACTTCTAAAATCGGCAACATTGGGTATGGTTAGGTAGCTATCTACGGGATAGGTATAACCGCACGCTGATGGAAATACTCGCAGATAGATAAACGGAACATATCGGGCGGTATAAGTTATTTGGCAGGTACGAATCTAGTACTTTATCCGAAGATGGAAATACCGGCCCTAAGGAAGTTATTTTGGTTGTATAAAATTAGACGCCCTTCAGAAGAGGGACAAACAATAGACTAAATTCCTATGTTTACTTCTTAATAAATAGCACTGTAGATAGATTATAAAGAATATAAAATTTGGAATGATAAAACGATTTTAACGCGATTTGCAATGTCGTAGGTATGTACAGAAGGGTGGACACAAATACACCATCCTAATAGTAATAATAAGTTACCTGAGAGAATTTAGTTGTGTCAAAAATCTAATGATTTGTTACGTGACAAAATGATAATGCTTGTGCTCTTTTTCACAACGGACATGTTTTGATTAAAATACACGTGGTTGGCAAAAATACATCAATTCATCTCCTGGGCATGGCGAGAATAACATTGGTTATAGGTCTTGATCCGAAATGGTCGATAAAGATACATCAAATTCGTCTTGGGAATTTTTTCGCCCGATTTTGGTGAAAGAATAATGATATTGCATATATAATACACATGGTCAACAAAAATGCATCAAATTCATGTCTTGGACCTTGAGATAATGATCTTGGTCTTTTTCTCAACGATCTCGGTGCAAGAATAACAATTATTGTGACCTGTGTTGGTGAAAATCCAAGTGGCCTCAGAAAAAGAATTTAAAGCATCCTTGAAACAAACATGCGCGGTTATCAAATCTGCATTATGATGTAGGTACTCTTTCGGCATCAAGAAAATGCTTTTACTGCGTTTGAACTCCAAATTCATGTGTTAAAGAATAATTGTGGGTACATTTTTGCTTTAAACCTTATGAACTAGATCACATAGAAGAGTTATATAGAATTGTTACACATCTTAGAGTCATATCGAATAATCTAGCGAAAGTCCGGGCTCTGACCTAGGGAATGAAATATGTTGATTTCTATTATATTGAGGTCACAGTTTTTCCTGTTCCAGATTCACCCCATGTCCTCTAACTTTTGATTCTCTTGAACCAGCTTCCTGAAAATCAAATGCGTCTACTTCAATGTCCAAAGTACGCGTACACCAAACCTCAATACAATCGGGCCCTTTAAAAAGAGATACAGGGCACATGGACGGGCAGACGGACGGACAAAAATTAAAAACTATAAAAGTATCTGGGGATCTTAACTAACTGCTTGTCTTTGATAAGTTTCATTATGTGCACTATGTGTTTTTGTGCCATGCGATACGTTTGCGCTAAAGACTTACGTTAAACCCTTGTTTGCTTATCTGACCATGGAAACAAATATATTCACACGGGATGTTATACTGAGACTGAGATTGAGACAAGAAAAAACAGCTCTAATTTCTGTAGGTTCTGGTTTTGCTGTATATTCAAAACCACGCATACAGTTTGTATAGGAGCTTGACTGACTAAAGTTCGATAGTGTATCCTTTATTCAATTGGATTACAATGTGTTAAGCATATAAACAGCATTATTTTACTATCTTATAAATATGTTTTTTTGCAGCACATAAATGCCAGTATTCCATCAATGGTACATAGCTTCCTGAAAGTAATCATTATTAGTTAAACTGTATCTATAAATGCTATAAACGGTATCCTAAATCGAGCAAGGGTAACTTTAATATTACTGATGATCGAGAATAGCTTAAATGGGCAATAACTGCATCTTTAACTCTTGTTTAAGATATGAAAAAAAAACAAATATCCATGTCATCCCATAAACTGTGACGTTTCATATTTCGATAGGGCAAAATCAAAAATAATATCAAAATAAAATTTAAGGTGGCTGCCACTGACATGTACGAATATCAACTACCTAGGTACTTTTATTAAATGGATGCAATATTAAATTTTTCTCCTAGAAGATCGTCTCACGTAAAAAAGGAATCGGGAGAAAGTAGTGTAACCTCCCACTAAGTTTATTGTTCATCTCAATGTCGCTGTGCTTTGAATAAAGATAGGTATAAAACTGGTAATTATTCGGGCCGTTGGAACCACCCTCTAGACTCCCAATGAATGAGCGAAGTGTTTATAACCGCATAGATGTTTATAATTTGAATGGTCAACTGTATATAATTATAAACATCTATGCGGTTATAAACACTTCGCTCATTCATTGGGAGTCTAGAGGGTGGTTCCAACGGCCCGAATAATTACCAGTTCTATACCTATCTTTATTCAAAGCACAGCGACATTGAGATGAACAATAAACTTAGTGGGAGGTTACACTACTTTCTCCCGATTCCTTTTTTACGTGAGACGATCTATAGTACGGTTAACATCCAAAATATGGGCGCCATTTAATAAAAGGAGTTGCTATTCGCATAATCGCATGCCAGAAAATGGAATAGCTTGAATTTCATGAGTATGGCCTATTAAAATGTCAACGGAGGTATTTAATTTGTCGATTTTGAGTATATTTGTTTTTATTATTTCTCATCGGGTTCGAATTTTAAAACCTTAATCAGCACACCAATTTGTGACAATAACAAAAATTGTAATACTGCCCGATTCTGTATAGATAATGGCAATAATAGACAATAGATGGTAAGTTAATCTCTGTTTTGTTTAATTTTATAGGGCCGTTAGTATTTATTAATTATTAATATCATAGCAAATTATAAAGTGTGTTTTATTTTGGAAGACATAATTCTACCGTGTTATTAGTAAGTAAAAAAGCCCTATAACTTACTCGCTCATATGTTCGTCTTTGCCGTCACAGTGGAATAGTGACTTGACGCAACGGCATGAACTCTCGCAGTACACTGCTTGAGTCAGCAATACTACCACAAGAACGTAAAGAAGGAACTTCATCTTTTCGAATCTACAAGTCGTGCGTATATTCTACGCTTTTATACCGAATTGAGTCTTATGAAATAATTTTCGAAAGATTTACACTACGCCAACACGAAGTTTTAGGAAATACAGCAAATACAGGTAGCTATCGTGGTGTTTACTTAACGATAATATCAACCATAACAACAATGTATTTTTTGCAAAATAACATTGCTTTCATGTTTACAATAAGAGGCAATTAAGATATTCGTCTCGTTTCTCGGACTAAAGGACAATATTTGTAAAAAAATGCTAGCGCAATAGCTGTTTTCGTCTCCAAGTATGCCGCTCCTCTGCGCGTGGTCTCTACCAAAGTTTCGAAATATTGATCTTAGATCTTTTTTTACCTTGCCATATTTGTGCCTTTCTAGAACCTAACATCACGCTACATTAAGACGATTTGAAGTGTGGAAAAAATATCGCCCGGAGCGGTAACTATTTACAGTGCTTCAAATTTGACCATTAGTTTTAAAACACTCTGTAGAAGGTCGATCAAAATTTAAACCGTTCTCAAGTAGCATCAAGTCAGTATTGTAGACTTGGGAAGATATTTTGAAATTCAAGTCAACGGTGTCAAAGGTACAGGGCCTAAAGAAAAGCAGTCAAACGTGAACAATTTTGAAACATCTTGAATATCTCGAAAATCTTTGATGCTGGGTATAGGGAAATATATCAAACGTAGATTTTCATGTGGATTTCGAAAATGCAATAAATAATACAGGGTGTTCAATTGAAAATAAGAAAGTTGCTATTCACATCCGGTAAAACTGGAAGTGAAGCGATCCTGAAAATATTTTCTTTCGATAGATAATGAAAAACTATGTTTGTATGCAAATTTTCAGATTAAAATGGATGAATGAGAACCTGAAAACTTTTAGGTAACAGTTTCCGTGAAACAGCCTGTATAGTTCGCATAGATTTAACTTTACATTGGTTGCATCGATGAAAAGCAAAAGTGCATTCTGTTCCGAGTATTCATATTCAGTGCGAGGACTTCCGTGTTTTGGTTTTCTCATACGCCTGAATATATCGAAAATCTTTCGGATTTGATTTGTACAGAGTTGTACTACATTTCAAGAGTTGGATTAAATGTACAATCTTTTCTGATACATTTATACGTTTGTGGGATATAAATAGAGGTCAATTGAGCACGTTACGAACATTTAGATTGGCCCTACGTCATCTAAAAAAGTTAGATCGCGCTTTATTAGCGAATTATTAACGAGCTTCTAGCGAGTTTGTAATTTTGCGGTGTCTGTCCGTTAGCACGATATCTCGATAACGAATGGACCGATTACAATAAAATTTAGTTAATGGATTCTTTATCAAATTTTTAGATCGGAGTTCGTGAATTGGGAATGTAGCCCAAAAAATAAGGAAGGCCCTATTGACATCTCCGTGAGTTATGAACCGAATTGCATGAAATTCAATATGCGTATAGCTTTAGCCATATAAAATGCAATTCCAGTAATTGAGCCTAATCGATCAACATTCACAGTGCCCTTTTCGCATCTCGACCATTTATAAACCGAATTGAAAACTTTTTTATTTATGAAGGTATTTAAATGAACTTGGAACACTTGGAATAAAAGCAAATTTAACGCCAGTTTCAAAATTTCGTTTTGCGCATGCGCAGTGCCAACTTTCTTATTTATGGAGGCATTAAAATGAAATTTGATACACCACTTGGAATAAAAGCAAATGTAGCGCCATTTTCTAAATTTGGTTTTATGTAGGATGTGCAGTGCTAACTTTCTTATTTATGGAAGCAATTAAATTAAATTTCATACATATACACTTTAAAAAAAAGCAAAACTAACATCAGGTTTAAAATTTGGTTTTGCACATGCTATAGCCATACCCAGGAGCTCGTTTTCTATATTTGTTTAGTTTATTTCTTTTCTAATTTGTGCGTTCTTTAGCTGCTGTTCTGATGCTGTGCATATCTGGTTTGCAATCGTATCGCTAACTGCAACATTTGAGAGCTCCGGTTAATTGAGCGACTGGGCATAATACAAGTCCGTAAATTGGATGCC